TAAAATTGTAATAATATTGTTTGTATTATAAATGAGATTATTTCATCGATACTAATTAATGAATTTGGGTTAGTATAAGGTTTTTGATTAAAATATACCGCGGACTTTATTAGTGAGCGACATGAGTTGGTAAGGATTTCAAATACATATAAAATTTGGTCATTAATAGATTGGGGTCCAAAAAATATGATCACAAATAATTCATAAATGAAACAATACAATAAATTTCTTGTTAAGAAATTAATACATTAATTATAAAAGTTGAGTGAGGTTGCCTTCACAATCGACTTTTATACCTAAATGGAGAGGTGTGAAGTAAACGTGATTTAGATTTATAACGTTTCTCTATATATAAGTAATTATAAACTATATAAATAGAACAGTAAATTTTGTAATGTTCTTCAAAAGCTTTCCAAACTTTTACGTCGGTTTACTTTTTTTAAAGAGAACCATTACTAATATAAACTGTTTCAAACGTTTTCTAGCATTTTTAACCGACTGCTTCATTTTTTTTTTTGTTCCTTATTCACTCCTAGAAGGAGCACAGGGCTAGTGCATGATTTCTCATGCAATTGTTTCATAGTGTCATAGAGTTTAACTAGGTAGGTGACTAGCCTGCCGTAGTTTTTATTTATATAAATTATTTGAGGTTATTAATATTTACTGTTTATTTTTCTTAGTTTTTTAATATCGAATATTACGAATATTTGAAAATTACTTGTATAATATTTATTAGTATTGTATATTAAGTTATAATAATATTGAATATAATTTTTATAGTGACCTGACCGGGGTTTGAACCCGAGACCCTTCGATTAAAGGACCGGTGCCATAACCACTGCACCAATGGTCAGAACCGACTGCTTCATAGTACATTATATTGTTATTTTTCATATATTTGTATGTAAATTTTTTTTATTAAAAAATATATTATAGAACACATACATTTAGTCGCATTATCAAAAAAACTGATAGAGAAAGACAATATAGATTTTGCTTAAAAATTTTGACTTGTTTCAGAAATACCGCGACTCATTAAACTGATCAGAAAAAAGGTTGTTAATCAGATGTGAAAGTAGAGAAAGGTTTGCAAAATTCAAACATAAATATATTTATGTCATTATAACAAATTAAAGACAAGAGATCAGACAACAAACTGCATTTAAGAATAAAAGTACCATGAAAGTAAATTAATAAATGATCGAAGTACAACCCTGAAGAAAAAATTTTTTAAAAAAAAATATCCTTAAAATCATCGGTTGAAACAAAATTTTTAATGCCTCCTTCTTGAACACTAAGCATTCAGAAATAAAATATTCACAAGATAAGAATACTCGTACATCTACACAAATATTTAACTATATATTATACTTATGTATGAATGTATATATTACGTTTTTTTTTAATTATAAGCTTTTCTTGCGTTTATATAAGTAAATAAATATTTTATATTAATAAAAACTATGTGTATAAATCCAAAGCAGAAGTGAATAACTTAAGATTTTATTGTGTCATTATACTTTGCGCATAAACTACTGAATGAAGTATAAATAAAACTCAATGAACAGAAGAAGATAGAATTTTGTTGTGAATTACGAAATAGAAAATGCAGATACTTTTCTTGAAAATTTGTGTTAAATAACAAAAATTAAAATTTTTATATTTCAATTTTCTTTCGAGCAGAAATTAAAGAGTAGAAACTCATAAGAAAATGAAAACCATTTTGAATTTAAAAAAATTTTCGTATTCAATATGCACACATAAACATTTTTGTTAAATATGCCACATCCCACAGCAATATTTTATAACTATACAAACACACTCATACTACATATACAATCAATTGGAATTTATTATTACTATTCTTATTTTAACGTTGTATGATTGAATGAATGAATGAATGAACGAATGTATTAAAAAATAAGAAAGAAAAGCAAAAATGAATATGCAGTTGTTTAATAAAAAAAAAATGTCGACTAGAGTGGGACAATTTTTAAATTTAAAAATTTTTACTTTTGAATTTACTTATGTATTTATATAAGATTGAAAATGTGTAGCTCTGCATTACCACTTGATATTCAAATAAGGGTAGTTTGATAGTTCTGTAAAAATAGAGGTTATAAGTTAGAGACGGGTAGATTACACTTTAAAATATTTAGAAGTTAATTTTGAAAACTGACAGTATAAATATAATTTTTAATGGAATTAAATTAATGGAATTAGTTAATTTACTTTGCATAGTTCAGATTATAATTTTATTTTCAGGGTGAGAAATTATACATAGCCTTTTCTTAGCGTATTTCGGTTAAAATATTGATATTTATGTGCTTTGCCATATTGCTTTAAAAATTTGTAAGAAAGTTTTTTGGTTTGACGTACTATGCTAATGTTAATAAATATTATATATTATATACGTTATAGCTGCAGAAGTATAATGACAATTTGACTCATTTTGTAATCTGAACAAGTACAGTTAACTTTAGGAGTCTAGAAAAATGAAACAGTTTTGATATTTGTAAAAGCAAAATTTGGATTTAAACATAACATTAATAATAAATCACATAAAAAAATATAATTAAATTTAAAAGACTCTAAGTTAGAAAAATAAATAAATTTTATTATTTTATTTATATCGGCTTTAATGCCTACAAATATTATGTAAAACTTCCCACCTTTTTGGCTCGGTTAACAAATTTTTGTGCAAAATACAAATTTTAAAAATTGTTCAAATTAAATAAATTTTTTTTTTCTAAATATCAGCCATTGACCAGTTGGATGAAAATAATCTTTGGAGTTTTTTTTTGTTTTTTTATACTCACATTTTTTTAGCCCAATGCCAAAGGATTATATTACCGTAATTCCATAATATTAACCAAAAAAAAAAGGAAACAAAGATACCTGAATGATTGAAAAAAAATATAAAGAATTTTTTTTATAGTTAAGTTTCTCTACACTATCAACTTTACTTACTAAGGACATTGATCAGGTATAATGAATGAATTTAAATTATCACGCAACGTAAAAGATAAATTTTTTTCAACACACATGTGATATAGTGTAAGGACAAAATTCGTTTAACAAATTGGTGCGTATTATATTGAAATATTTCGTTTAGAATGTATAAGATTAAAGAACCGTGTGTTAATTAATACGTATAACTTAATATTTTTTGAAGGCATAAATAGAAAATTTAAACTTGTTCATTCTTTGAATGTGACGATCACATGAAAGACTTGATTCAGATATTTAGAAAATACATCGCCAGAAATCTATTATAAAATTTAATTTCTTGAGCTAGATACAAGGAAGTACATACAACGAAAGAGAAATTTATTGCTTTATTTAATTAGAAGAAAAACTTTTATCTTGAAGGTATGTGGATTTGTTACTTTCATTCTCATATGAATTTGCATGAATACAAAAATGGTATTTTCAAATGAGTAAAATTTCCTTTAATTACACTATTCTCTATTCCAGTAACCTACTATTCTTAATAACGTTAAACTTTTATTTTCAAATCAACGTATTGTTTATTACAATCTCTATACTTCAGTTCGGGACAATTTTTTGATTGGGGTCCTCATAAAATCATATATGATTAAAAAATTTAAAAACTTAGGCCTGATATACTAATACGACTGATTTTAAATAAAAACTGGATATTATATATTTCTGCTTGTGTCATCGTGTACTTGGTCTACATAATATAAAAAAAATTTTTTAAGTGTATTAAATAAGGTTTAAAATTTTTTTTTAATTTATAACATTTTTAAATTATATGAATTGTACTAAACTATATATGAACTAGAAGGACTCTCAAATCAAATTTCGGCAATTCTTCCTATTAAATTAAAATCCATGAATGCGGGGCCTTGAATTCAGGAATTCTCAAATTCAAACATGCTCAAACAGTTTAAATTGAATATTTTCTGGTTTTGCTTTTCGCTTTCAAATATAAAATTTATGCAAAAATTCAAATGTACTTGTATATTATCGAAAAATTATGTTGACGTAACAAAAAAAACAATTTTAGAATGATGAGCAGCACATTTTTTCTATTGTAGTACCTTATTTTATTAACGTGTTTTTTGTGCATTAACAAAAAAAAATCTAAAGGCCAAGTACATGGGAAAAAAAAAGGATCAAAATAAATAATGATTTACTATAAACACATATACACACATGATGTACGTAATGATATAAGCAAATTGTTATATAATATGTAGCTTCGCATATAGGCACACATACATAACATACACACAAATTTACAAAAGGAAAAATTTTAAAAACTACTATTGTGGTAGTTAAAAAAAATTTACATTTTCCGTTATTACGTTATCCTATATATGTGTATAACACATATGATGACACTATACAACGGAATGAACTCTAAAATACTCACATGGGAATTCTATAACGTTAATTAGTTTTCATTGAAGAGGCGTTTTTTTTCTTCTTCTTCTTTTTTCTTTCTTTTTTCATTTTATTTTATACTTATTGAACTTTAATCGATGAAAATATTCAAAGAAAATTCAATTTGTCAGTCTCAGTCAGTATTGTTTTTCTTTTCGTTAAAGCATGTTCGGATTTTATTTACATTTTGTACTTTAATATTTAGATTTATGTATGTATATAAAAGGAGAAAATTTTAGTAATTTATAAAAGGTGCCTTAAAATCAAATTTATGTATATATAAAAGTACATATGTATGTATTATGTTCTTAATTGTGTATGTGTAAAATCTTCGCAAAACCTATTCGTTTGCAAATTTTGTATATTTAATTGGAATTAGTGTCACGAATAAAATATAACAAAAATATATATACATATGTATATATGTTTATTATATTTAAATAAATAAAATAGAAAAATTTACTTTAAAATTTGAAAATGAATTAATTAAAAAAAAAATTGTATAACAGAATTCATATTGGTGCATTGAAGAATTTTACATGCCTATATATTATACAAAGGCATACTTAGATTATAAGCACATGTAGTTAATATATTTTGATATATCGTTAATATTATATTAAACCTAGTCTTAAATATTAAAAATAAAAATAATTTTAAAAATATTGCATATCAAGCAAATATATAATAAGAAAAAAATATAAAAAATTAAAAAATAAATTATTTGTGTATTCAAAATAAACTTTAAAAATATTTTTTCACAATTTTTGGGATTACTTCAACACACACATATACATATATATATATGTATGCATATGTATGTTTATAATAATTAAATAAATGTAAGTTTATTATGTAAATTTTAATACAATTAAACAGTTAAAAAAAAACAAGTATGCAAGTCAAATTAATCTAAATTTTTGTGTTTTTCCAATAAGTATGTATCTTACATAAATGATGACAAATATAATTACGTTTAGTTTTTATAATCATTATAAAAAATAGTTTATTTTGAAAGTCCACTTCAAAGTCCTAAATCCATTTCAAATAAAAATGAAACATTGCTTCGTTTATGTTTAAAGTATAACCAAAAATTCAGTTGACATGTTTATTTGCTCTCTATAAATTATTTATTTTCTTATCTGACAACATATATATGTATGTTTTGGTTTGAACTCTTTACATTATCATTGCTTTGGAAAATAAAAGAGTTTTGAAGTAGCAAATGGACTGGGGTTTTTTCAAAATATAAACAATCCTCTTTATGAAATAAGTAAAAAAAAATGGTGAGGATAAAGGAAAATGAATATTATATGTGCCGCCTTTTAGATCCAATTAAATAATTACATAAGGAAATAAAATAAATATTAAAAAAATTTGTTTGCCAAATGGGTACTCTATTTGATCAGCTCTGTAAATGCTATAGTATTTATTTGTGTGTGAAAGAAATCTGGGATTAATATTTTTTAAAAACTGGTGTAGAGCAAGAACAATTATTTCAGTTCTTTAACACTTAGATATATATTTAGGTGTCTGTATCAACTATCTGTATAGCGATTCATTACACAAAAGTCTCAATAAGCATGCTCCATGTGCCTACAAATAAAAAATTCTTTTATTATAAGTCTATTAAATTTTCTTACAAGATTTTTTGGAGTTATAAATATTTACAATTTTCAAAACTTCTTATTAATTGCACTACATGTTATTTGGATTATTATTGGTTGGTTTAAGCATTTAAAATAACCAATTTTGGGATGCCTTCTTAATCACTTATATTTAAAATAGTAGAAATTTTTAATATTTTATATTTTGCAGGATAACATAAGTAATTTCTTAATTAAAAATGCTTGAAATTCAAAAATTTAAGTATAAAACAATTCGTTCACGAAAACAAATCAAAAAGTCAAAAATGTAATTAATGTATATGTAATATGTAGGTGCATATGTACTCTATATAAACAATATTTAGAGCTAATTTCAAATATTTAAAACATTATTTCGAATATCACTTTCTACTACATAATGTTGTCTCTTTCTGTAATGACAGATTTTAACTAATTTCTTTAGTTGAAAAATTAAAAGCCAAATTTTTGTTTCCAACATTTTTCGAAAAGTTTCGCAAGCAAACATTATCTCACTGGAAATTATATTCAGATCAATTTGGTGTACCAACTTTAAGATATAAAGTTAACAAACCTATGGCTTATATGATGTACAGTAGCTAAATTAAGCTGACATGGAAAGTTTTAAGTTCAATCACTACCCGCTTGAAATTATAAATTCTAATTCAAACGTGGTTATCCAGCGTCATTTTTGGAACGTTTCATATTAAATGTACATATATGTATGTACCAACATAAATAATGATAACCGTTTGGCACTGCCCCTTCAAAATGAAGGCAATAAGACTTTCTTATAAGTAAATTATTTTAAAAAAATAACTACTTTTTGAAAAATGTTATTCGTTAACGGAATAAATCAATGGTCGACAACTCATTTTATAGAAAAACATAGAATATAAATTCGGCAATTTCGGCAATTGATTTTTCTTACCATTTTTATTCAAGACCTATAATATTCAAAATTAAATATAAAATTCACTTACACCTACTTTGTTATTGTGCTTAAAACACATTTGCTGCCAAGGCTATGATTTAAGTTTCAAATTTTACCGACGGTTCGACAATAAATGCTAAAACATTTAAAAGTGTTCAATTTTAGTGAAAACTTAACCATTCAATTATTTTAATAATTTATAATTGTGTATGTATATAATGAATATAGACAACGAAATGAATATAGACACTTTATAATGAATATAGACAACGAAATAAAATTTCTAACTTATTATTTATTACAAATTCAAAGATTATTAATTGGATCCAATTTCAACAAAGAATTGCAACTAGTATATTAGTTTTCAATGTACAATTATTTATTATTGAAAAATTTATAACATTCATCATTAATTTTTATAAAATATTTTAAGCTCCTGTATAGCAATCAAATATAGTTGGCAAATTCTATGAGCTCCTAAAAGTAAAATAATTAGTCATCCATCATCATTCAATCAATACTTTTTCTATAATTTTCACTTTGTGAGAGAAATTATTTTGAAACTCCATAACGTATAAAAGTAATATTTAAATCATATATAAAAAGTGCATGCCTTTATATCATAATTAGATTGTGATTATTTCACGTGTAGGAATGATAAAATTCGCATAAATTCTATGTCTTTTGGGCCATCTCATTTCAATCTATGCAGCTGCATTGTAGATTACTGGAGCAAAATGTGAGCATAGGAAGTCCTCTTCACCGACCACCGCAGCCAGTTATGACTTCTTGTAGCCCTCCCATATTCCATTTATATTACACCTCGGTTCCAATTGAACACCCGAATGCACCCCTCGGCGAGTTGGACGTTAGCTCCCTAACACTGAGAAAGCAGTGCATAAAGCTGCACAACTACCGACAAATTTTTTTCCCTTATAGTAAGTTTTGAGTTACATTAATGAATTTCTCGAAATTCAAAAGTATCAAGTAGTTGTTCCACTAGTTCACCTTGCCCCGCTTTTCCCAGTTATTTAGAACCAAAATAGAATTGCTGTTTTTAGCACTTTAAAGCATGAATACCGCGCGATAAAAAAGATAACATTCACTTCTTTTATAATCATTGTCTTTCAGCTGTTATTTGACAATGTTTTCTTTTATGAAATTAAAAATCATTTAAGATTAAAAGAAAATTAAAATCGCAATAACAAGGAATATTTTCCAATTTAAAGTTCCAAAATGTTATTTTTGTCTTGGTACATTTTTAACTGTAATATAATTTTATATGAAAGACAGATAGCAGCAGTAGCTGTTAGGAAACAGAAGTGCGTTGAATCTATGATTTTTGCAGTAACTAAAATCATATAGTTGCTGTATATTATAATTCTAGTCAAATATAAGTAATATTCTTAATATTTCACTAGATTATTATTTATTAGCTGCTTCTGTTTTTTTTATTGACAGTGTACATTTATCGTATATAAATCATATATAAATCAAAACGCTGTATTGCTTTCATTGCCAAATCTATGGTATTCTTAAAACATGAAAAAAATATTCAGTTGTATTTTTATCGTAGACTTTACATTAATCGTTTTATTACACTTGACAAAACTTCTAAAAATAAAGCTTGATAATTGAGGCTTCAGAAAAGATCTGATTATATTTCGGGAAAAACTATATGAAACTTTTGAAAGCAATTTTCTATATTATTGCATTTGAATTCATAAGTTTCAATTTTATACAGCAAAATGTGAAGTTTAAAACATTTTACATTATTTTCCTGGGCAACACTAAAAAGAATTGTGAAAAGAAAGTAAAACTGAAATTTTAAGTGCGACATTGTAAAAATAAATGTCCTACTAAAATTATTTAACCTAATGATAACTTCTGATTGCATACATTTAGGGGAATAAATTAGAAAATATTTTATCCCTATCATGAATTTCGTTCGTAGCTCTGAAATTCGGTAAATTACGAATATCATGTTATCAATTGGAAATTACTAAAATTTTATTCCGAATATTCGTAATGAATTAATCATAAATTACGTTCGTAGTTAAAATTATACTCAAAAGTCTACGAAAGAAATAATCACTCATAACAAGCAATTTAAAGAGAATAATCGTATCAAATTTTCAAATTTTGAATTGTTTTGTTTGAGTTTCGGTTACCGTATTAAAGGAAATTACTGAATGAAAAATTTTTACTGAAATAGCAACCAAAAAACATAAATAAACATTTGACAGTCGAAATAAAATACTGATTTTGACACTCCGAAAAATGATATTGCCACTGGCGTTTCATAATCTCTACGAAAGGAATTTGTGATCATTCGAAAATCTACGTCGTAGTTATGTTCGTAATTCGTAGAATTCTACGAGTGGAATTCATGATAGAGCTGAATTATTAAGAATATGTTTAAATTTGCAAGAATATGTATTTACGTTATTCACGTTACTGAAATTATAGCATACAGAATTACAAAAATATAAGAAACATTTCTCTTATTCGCTTGCAAGTAGGCCTAGAATTGAAAAGATTTTTGGAAAATTTGTGTTCAAATTATAAAGGTGTCAATGTATGTACATATGTTTTCCTCAAAATCAATTAAAATTTATTGTATTAATTAATATTACATACTTGCACATAAATATATTTATTGATTTCGTTTAATTTTACTTTGCATTTATAAACAAGCACACAATTAATAACATGTATAGGTAATTTGCATCTATTTTGTGACATTATTAAAAATATTGTCTCTAATGAACATTCTAAAATATTTCAAATGTTCTTTTAAGATAAATTTCTGTACAAATCATTGAAACATTTTCCAAACCATTTAATCTAAAGGAAAGTCATAAAGTTAAGAAATGTGCAAGTTGAAGGTTTGTTTTTTAAATGAGTTTTATCATGACATACTCTACTTTAATAAAATTCTGTTTAACTAAGATATTATGACAAAAATATAGACTTGCAGTACGAAAAATATTTTTGATTCAAAATTAAGAAATATCTAAAAGTTCCCATTTTTCGATTCTCTTGTAAAAAATTAGAAAATCTTTAAAATCAAAGAATAATCTTATTTCATTTTCAATTTTTGCTTATATTTTATAAAATCTTATAGGGAAGAGAACAGCTTGTCAGTAGAACCATTTTTACTAAACTAATGGAAAAATGTTTGTATATAGGAAAAGACGTCCCATTATTGGGAGAAAAGGAAAATCTAGTCTATTAATTAGTTAAGTCTATGGATATTTTACTTACGCATGAAGTATGTAAGCATTCTTTCCGTGAAAAACTTACACACAATAAATGAAACACAGAAAAAAAAGAGTAGAACATTTAGCTAAAACAATAGTATAAATCACCTAATGAAATGCTTGATTTTCAGCCTCCTAAACTATTTAGCTACATTGCCTAATTTAAATTAGCTGAATTTACTTTTTAATAATTAGGAAAATTAACCAAATAAATTTGCTGATTTATCTACAATATTAGCTAAAATACCTAAAAATTTAGGTGGATTAGAACTAAGCAAATAGTCGGTTCACCTAATCATTTAGTTGATTTATTTTAAAACCTTTTTGAAATTTAACTAAAGAAATAGGAATTTCACCTAAATAAATAGTTAAAAAATATTCTCAACAATAGATAATATACCTAATTATTTAGTTAGAAAATAGAAAATATAACTATTTTTTAGTTAATTATAATAGGGTTTTTACCTATTATATTAGAAAAAGTATCTAAATAAATTAGGCTCGTTTCTAAATTTATTTAGGTTTAATCCTGAAAATAAAAAGGTACTATAAATTAAAAATTAAGTTTTGTTTCGTTTAATTTTATTTTATCCAATATTTTTTCAGTTAATGTCACATTATGTTAAATGAAAAAACACGAAAGTTAACAACAATGATGATGGGTTTTGTATTTTTAAAATTATTGACAAGTTAATATTCCTCCTTTATAACATTGAGTTGTAATTTGATGAACAATGTGTGCTTAAAATATTTTATAAATTTTAATATCGTTAATAAAAAAATAGAGTAAAAAAAAATTTAAAGTATTGTAATACCGTAAGGTGTAATGCAAAACATCTAAATTTGAAGGTTTCCATTGTTTTTTTCGCCACATGTAAGACTTTATGGTTTGTGGTTTCTGAAATTTATATTTTAATTATATAATTACGATTTATTCAGGATTAATATTATTTTTGAGCCAAATTACATTGCTTTAAGTTTCAGTCTCCTTTTTCTTAAACTGGGAATTAAAACTTGAAATTAATATTAAAGTTATAATAATTATTATAAAATTTATATAAAATTAAAATTACCTACAGGCTGCAAATGTAATGATTGACTTTTCAAAACTTCTACATCATACTAGAACTATATCTTCGAAAGTAAGAACCTGTTTTTATTACTCTTAACACGATTATCACTTTTTTTATTTAGTCCAATATGTAAATTTTTTGAATATTATTTTTAATTTTTTTTTTAAATAATAATAATTATTTTTAAGTTAATTTTAATCACGAAAAATTTATTTTACAATAATAAAACTAAGCTTATTTACTACGCCAATATTAAACATGTACTAATTTCTGTTCAAAAACTTCAAAAATTAGAATACAAAAAAAATAGCGGTATTTTGAATTTTTTCTTGATAAAACAAGTGTTTTTTTCTAAATTTAGCTAATTTTTTCGATATTTCAACTAGTGTTTTAGTTAATTCTTTTTTGAGTAAAATAAAGTGGCTGAATTAACTAAGGTAATAGTTAAAATATCTAGAAAAGTAGTCATTGAAGAAAAAAGTAACGGTATTTATTTCTAAGTAAAACATTTGATCTTTTGATAACTCAACCAATGTTTTCAGTAGTTCAACTAATGTTTTAGTCAATTTTTGGCAATAAAATGAAATAGCTGAACCAACTAAAGTTGTAGTCAAAATATTTAAAAATGTAGTCATTGATTAGGAATTTACATAAAAACTGTAAACTTATTTTTTTGTTTTCTTTTCTAAAATAACTAAATGTTTAGATGAAATATCTAATTAAATTAGTTGAACTTTTTCAACTATTTATTTTAGATAATACATCTAAATGAGTAGACAAATCACCTAATCTTTTAAATATTGCATTCAACTAATTCCAAATAGTTGAGCCAGCTAATAGTGAATTTTAAAACAGCTAAAGAAGTTGTCAATACTTCTAATTATTTATATAAAACACCTAATTTGAAACCAGCTAATTACGATTAGTTGAAAAATCTAATTCATTTTTTTCTGTGAAACTTCTTGTAGTCCGTTCTTGCTCATATCTTTTATTTCCATATTAAAATATTTATTACGTATGTATGCATGTACATACGTACACATTATAATATTGGTGAAAATGTATAATTACATTATGTTGACATATTTAATAACCGTTTTACATTTTATTTATTTATTTATCATAAACATAGCACTTCTTATTTTGATTTTGTAAACCTGTTTTTTATGCCACTATGAATATTACATTTTTTTTTTTTATATTAATTTTAATCTATAGTAATTCTGCAGCGATTTTAAACTTTGTTGACTTTGTGGTTTTTATTTTTGCATATCTTATATCATTTGGAAGATATGTTTACATTTTCATATGTACATACATATAAAAATGTTGACTTTTCAACAGAATAATTTTTTTTTGCTACAAAATTTTAAATCTAGCTATAGCAACTTAAATATTTTCAGTGAACTTTTTAAATTTAGATGTGAAATTGAAAATTAAAGCGGCTGAAGTCTAAATCAAGTTGGAATTCCTGTATATACATAAAACTTAACAAGTACATCTATATATACACTTTTAATTCCATTTGTCAACCATAGTATTTTGATATATATGCACAATATTTTGCATACATATGAACATATTTGCTAAAATATTACTCCAATTGATTTTCTCGCCGTTCCCTCCTTATTAGAAACATCGTTATTTACATATGTAGTTATTACTATCTTGTTTTAATTTTCTTGTTTGATTTAAGTCCTAAATAATATTGTCAACCTCATAAGAACGTATGTATATATAGCGTAACGAATCCCGACAAATTGGAACATTCATCAAATCATTTTTTAAGTATAATGGTCCAATTTGAAAAATAGTTTTTGCAAAGTTTATAAATTCAGGCTTAGATAGTTTAAGATATATATAAGATTAAATAATCAAATGTAAATATAGAAATGTAGATCTAACATAAATTTGTCTTATTCAAAAATACAATTTTATATTGCTGACATTCGACATGCCTTTTGGTGGATTAGCCATGTTACTCACTCGAATTTCTTCAAAGAAATCAAATATGAATTTCATGAATAATTAACACTTTTAAAATATTCGTGTTCTACAGTATTTTACAATCAAAATTATAGAGCACTATTAACACAGTTTTTACACCTCATAGATTCATTTTGAAGTTTTTAAAAGTCTGGGAACATGGAAAAATAGTTTTTTAAGTTAAAATGTTTTCCACAAAGATGCGACATAATATTTTCAATTGTACTCGCAATGAAGTGACAGCACTGCATATTCCATGTAACTGAAATTTCCTTATATTTTTTTCTTTCTTCTTTGCATCCTAGATTTTGTCCTTCGCCATAAAAACCACAATAAAATAAAAAACAAAAATAAATTCTTCACAGAATAGAGACTTTTATTACTTTTATGTACCAGAAAAAAAGATAAAAAAAAAATTATGAGATTTGAAACTTAAAGTTGAAGTTTTTAATATTTTTTTTTTCATAATTTCTTATTGTTTTAGGTTGATTAAGGTTGAAATATTTAATGAATTGCAATATTGCAAAAAAATTTTCACAAGATTATATGGCTAAATTTTATTCTATTTCAATAGTGTTAAGTTTATATATAACAGTTTAACAAACTCTGAAAAGGTCCAGGCTTCAGAAGTACCTACAAGAAATTGAAATCAATTTAAATATATACTGTATATTTGTCGTAAATACATAAATGCTAGCGCTTTGACGTTCTAAATTTAATTATGACAATTGTAACTTTAGAGTCCGATTTGCCGGTATGCTTAAACGAAAATATTAAATTTACTTTTCACTTGTTTTGGTTTTTTAAATGTTAGTTACATTTGAAAAAGAAATTAACCGGCAACATTTTCATCTGCTTCATCACCTTGACTTCCAAATTGGAGCAATAAGGTTTTAATAAATAACTCTGTTAAAGAGTTGTAATCGCTAGCTTTTGTAGCATTTTAGTGTTACTACTGTAATTTTGATCCCCATCATATTGATGCGGTAATAAGTGTGCTCATATGCTGTGTCTTATTGAAAAATAGAATAAAATCGAATTTGATTTTTAAATAAGAGCCGCATATTGCAACTCTTATTTTAAATATCAAAGTTTTGCAAAATTTTGATATTTAAAATATAATTTAAAATTTTACATAAAATATTATTAATAATTATTATAATTTACAGGATTTGAAACAAATCAAAGCATAATGTACCAAATTGAAAGGCCTTTTTCAAATGAAACAATCTCAATTATATTGCTCGCATATTTAATTTCAATGTAATAGTCTTAAGGATGTCATCAGATTTTACAATTATTGGTACTATTAGTAATTATTTATTATCTAGGTAAGATGTTTTTATTGATGAAAAAAATAAATATATTTTATATTATAATTCATTATTATTTATAATGTGCAACAGCATTTTGTTATATGAGAAAAGTAAGCAGACAATATTATTAAGTATACTTTGTACAAAAATTCTGTTCGAGTTCTATGGAAAAGAAAAACCAAACGCTGAAACTCCAGAAAACATAAGTGGGGCTATGCATTTATAATTGAATATTCAATCTGGTTTCACCCAAGCCGTTTTATTTATAAAATTTATTAAATTTAAAATAAATTTTTTTAAAATATATAAAAAGTAGCACTTTTTTCTTGAACAAGTATTTTTTAAGTGAAAAATCGATGGAATTCAAGCGTACATACGTGCAATCATTGCATAATATTATAATAGAATTAATTTATACAATAAAAAATTATTGCATACTTTTCGGAAAAAGAACAAAAATTAAAAGAAGGGTTAACATAATGATCGAATTTGGTGATTAGTTAGAAGAATTAAGATTAAATTTTGAAAGAGGTGAAGACGGAAAATAAATTTTTTCCAACGAAATAAATTATTTATCATATATTCTAAGAGCTGCTAAAATTTTAGAGTTTTACAATTTGCCTTCTAAGAGTTTTTGTTTTCGTTGCAATATCAAAAATTACATCGGGATATATATTCGTAATAGCCGTTTTAGATTTTTAGCAATAAAAGAATAATTTGTGCTTTTGCGGAATTTAAAAAGTTTTTTAGTTTCTATACAATTATGTAATCAAAAAGTGACATTTTTAAAGAAAGGTAAAAATCTAGAGAGTTTTCTAGAGAAATAATTGTTCCTAATAAAAATCTAGTTGCGTATAAGGCTTCAGACTTCCGCCTTAAAGGGTGTAGAAGTTTTGCAAGCATGCACTAGGACAGATAAAGAGACCGGCAGGTGGACGAACAGACTAAAATAAATAAGCAGTTTTTAATTTTATGCTACCCATAAAAATATACAATTGTCTAATCGGACAAGAATTAAAATACAAAATTAGAGTAATTAGACTTTCACATTTTTTGTTGGGTTTTCTGTATATAGCAGATTAAATAATGTACCTATATATGTATAACTGTACCTAATACATATTCACATTGTATTTAAGAAAAAAAAGTGTATTTTCGTGTTAAAAACTTAATGTTAAGCAATTTCGCTTAATTTTCTGAAGAATGATAAACTTGTGTTATATATATACATATATGTATATATATTCTTATTTTGTTAAGACAGAAAAATTATATAAGAAGTTTTAAAAAGATTATTTAAATAACTATATCAATTAAATATTAATGCATCATTCTTTTAATATATATGATGGATCATGCTTGGCTTGATTCATCTCGTTGCTCTACAATCAATTCATTAGGATTTTCCACCCATTATCAAGAAAAATTGTAACGATATGAATGTAGAAAATACAAAATGGAGAATTGGATACTTTATACATATGAGCTGTTGTATCCAGGCTGGGTAAACGTTGCCAGGAACAGCGTTTATTGTATATACTATGCATAATTTGATTTCTCACATACATACATATATATATGTACATTAATACTATGCTTATCTACATGAAGAAGTAAATTAAGAATACTATATACAGATTTATATAAAAATTCTTAAAATTTAAAATAATATTAATTTTTTTTTTGTTGTTTTATGAAAATTATATAAGAAAATTTTCTAAAAATTTTGACTTGCGCATTGGAAGTCAAAAATTTTTTTTTTTTGGGAACAGCCAACAAAAATTCAAAAATAATATAAAAATTATAAAAAAATAATAATAACAAAAATTAAATTATGATTTTCAACAGGTTATTTGTAAGATAAAAGTAGGTGGAGCTATGTATATATCATGTAAAGTTACTAGTAATGCTCCTTTGGAGCCTGAGGCAGGATATGTGCCAAATAATCCTTTATTTGGTATATCATTTGATAGTCCACAGGTAATTGAATTTTATATATTGTAAATTTATATATATATATATATATATATATATATAAGCATGGATATAGTATATTCCTCAAATATATAAAAAATATGCTTATATAATATTATAGTAAATAATTCCCACTTGTTTAAAATTAAATATAAAAAAAATAATTATGTATGAGCATTTAATTTCTTTTTCTATATAATTATTTATAATACATAGGAATGCTTGGAATCCTGTTCTGGATGTATATCCTGCCAGAATAATACATCAATTCCACCAATTCATACTTCGGATTTAGATTGTGAAAGTTGTTTCGATCAAAATTTAACCGTTTTAAGGTGATTTTTTTTTATATATTTAAATATTCAATATATATATATATATATATATATATATATATATATATATAAAAAATTTATATATATATATTGATTTATATTTATTACAAGCATGCACAGTTATTATAACAGTTATTATAACACAGTTTTTAAAATTAAAAAATAATTATTAAAATAAATAATTTTATTTTTCACAAAATTGTGTAAGTGAAAATTTTTGAGATAATTTTCTCGTTGATTTTATATTGCGCGTATTTTTTTTCCATCAATTAAGTGATAAACTGAATTGTGGAGTATTGTAGAATTAATTCACAATATAAAAAGTTCATAAATATTTTGGCTATAAACACGAATGTAAAAATCTTTGGCTGTGATTTATCAAAAATATTTATGGGTAGAAATGTTTCATTCCAATTGCATAAAAATAACAAATTTTGAAACTTATATTTGACTAACAATAACACAGTCGACAGCATTTCTAATTAAATTCCTCTTGCAACCGCAATTTTTCAAATTACGTTTCCGATTACGAATCAGCATAATTAATTATAAACAAAAGTTTATAATACAATAAATGATAAACTAATGCCATATATATCCATCATGCCATCAAGCTCAGAGAGCAAATCAAAAATAAATTCCAAATTTATATGAAGTTTAAATGGAAGTGGTGTCGGAATTTATTTGTGTGAAGGAAATTGATCAATATTTTTAGCTCTTCTGATTCTATACATATTTTTTTAAATTTAAAATTTAAATTTCAAAAAAATTCGGTTGGTAAATTCCATCTGGCAAATGAATTTTAAAAAAAAAATACAATTTTTAGCCCAGACAACCTTTCTTGTCTTCCAAATGGAAGAGTATACTGAATTACAGAATAATATTTTTGAATAAGAAATAGATTTAAAAGTCAGAGTATTTAAAATTTTCAATATACTAAATAAAGTCAAAGTCATAAAATAATTTCAGCTTGATGGCCTGATAGATATATATGGCATTAGATGAACTATAAATTTAAGTATACTCACTTAATAAATGTTAAATTTGAACATAATTTCTTCATTATGGTATTAAATAACAAAAAATATAATCATAATTATTTAAATACATTTTAACAAACTAAAAACAGTTTTAGAATTTTAAAGAGGAGCGCATTTTAGAACTATACGGTATGAAGATTTTTTAAATAAGTTTCGAAATTTAAAATTACGTGAAAACTATAGAAGAATGAATAAGTTTTCTTTTTAATGTGAAATTTATTTGAAACAGCAAAACGTGACGGCTGCAATTTTAGAAATTTAAAAACTTGATTAATTTTGTAATTTTTCGTATCAGAGTATTATTGGATTTTTTTTAAATTTCTTTAATAAAATTAATACAGAAAAATTCAATTTTGAAGATGCTCTGCAGATCATTGTACAAATGAATTAAAGAAATCATGATCTAGACACTCTAAATTTGCAAATACAAACTATTTTTAATAGAATCCCAGTTAATACATTTTATAGTATAAAATTTTTGCTATTATTTTATGTCCGAATATTATGTCCGAATGCCGTATGCCGTACAGGAATAGACAAAAATTTTTACAATATACAGTGAATAAATAAAAATATGTTTAATATAAAGAATTTGTAATTTTTTGAGAAATATATTTAATTTCAATTATACCTTCGTAATAAAATTAATAAAACCAAAAACGGTTGCGAATATTGAAATAATTTTGTAAGGATTTGACAACTTACTTTTTATAAAAATTTTAAATTTTTGTAAAAATTTTTCATTCATTAAAAAAGTTGACTGTAAATTTAAAATTAGAATGCAATTACATTCTGCACAAACCACAGCGATTTTCCGTAGGTATTATAGAAATTTGTCCGAATCAAAAACGATATTATTCTTGTGCAAAATTATTAGTATAATCGAGAAATTAATATTGAAAAAATTTATTTCTTTGATCACAAGCAAAGCAAAAACACAGATGATATAAGTGTTTGTCACTTATAGATTAATGCTCCATTAAACTTCAAAGTAGTTTTGAAATTCTATAAGTGTAAAGTTTAATTTTTTAAACATGCAAAAGTTTCTTATCCTAAAGAGAAAGAACTATGTTATATTATCCTTACTAACTCAAATTTAATCTATACTCTAAGACCGAATTAAAAACGAATTTAAATAAAAACATTTTAAATATCTTTTAATTATTTTTAAAATTACAAAATTAATGAGATTAAAAAAAAATTAATAATTTATTTTTACTTTTCTTGACGCATATTTCTTAGTTCTTCACAAGGAAACTCTACAACAAATTATTGGAATACAGAAGAAATGTCTTCATTTCCTGGACTACCTCCACTAGATATTGATCCTTTACCCAGTTTATTCCCTTTTTCACCATCTTGTAGTGCTTCTTACAAGTAAGTTGTTAAAATTTTTGTTTTTACCAATACCAAAATATCTACATATATATGAATGAAAAGAAATCAAAAATTTAGAAATTTCTGCAATAAAAGTGAAAATAATTCTCATGTAATCTCAAAGACATTCCGTCTATAAAATTGAAAACCTAAATTTGCCAGTTCAAAAATTTTAATAAAATAAATTTAAAATAATTAATATACTTACATAGAACTTCGATTTGAAATTATCTATGTAATTGTTGGTTGTTTTCCATTAAAAAGGAAATTTCTAAATTGGTTTCTTTTGTTACAAAATATTGTATAAATAAAATGTGTGTAATAAATTTTCCAATTCCGACTCCTCTTATAATATAATAATACGAACTTACTATGTACATTTATAATTAAGTATTACCAGGTATTACATATTTAGCTTTAAAATGCATGCTTTAAAATATAATATTTAAAATCTTTTTCGCAATTAAATTTTAAATGCACCCCCTGAATCAAAATTGCAGTAAAACTTTATTGCTACACAAATTCCCAGTTACAAATCTTAAGATGAATTATTGTGTATTAATATGGTATTACTGAAATTTCGAACTAAGGCGCATATTTTAATTGTTCTATATTATAATTAAAATTCTCGAATCAAAATTAAAGAACAAAAAAAAAACAAAAAGGAAAAAACCTGAAATTCCAAATTCCTATTTCCCTTTAAAGTACAAGATCTGACATTAAACCCGGTAGTACAAATGATGTTGCCGATGTCCTTCTTTCCTTAAAACATGCTGTATATAAACAAAATTATGATCCGACGACTTATGCAACTCATCAAGGACAAAATTGTAGTTTTTCAGCACCACAAACATCTTTATCATATACAGTACACCCTCAAATGTTACTATCACCAAGCCATCATCATTTTAATCAGTCTCAAACCCAAAATACAAACGTTAATAGTCAAACATATTATGATGGTACTCCAAATCAACTGGGTCCACCATCATCTTTATATCCTAGTGTTAGTGTTAATGTAAATATGACAATGCATGGATATCCTCCAGCGGAAAATACAGTTCCTTTACCATGTTCTCAAGTAAGTATGAGTATGTGCTTATATATTATTGATAAATTTTATCAAAATTGTTTGATTATGGTACAGTAACGTAGTATATTTTAAAAGAAATAAAATTAAAAAAAAATACTATGGCTAATGATTCGAGAAAATACTTGTCCATAGCGTAACAAATTGTTTAAAAGAACTTGGCATTTAAAAAATCAGAAATGTTTTTTAATTCATATTAATTTTCTATGTACGTTATGTACCATGCGTTCAGTTTTGTAAATTAACATTATAAATATTATAACTAGTAATTTATTTAGCAATTAGAAAAATTCTAATTTTTCAATTAATTTTATTTTTGAATGAAAATTTTGAATCCAATATGCAAGTCGCAACCAATTAGCTGCCGGTTTGAATAGATATAAATATTTTGTGGTTTTCTTTTATTTTTTTAATTTTGAGAAAAAAATAACAACTAATGAATTAAAAAATCGTGCGAAAATTCTATTTGAACATCGGCATAATTATTTCAGCTGTATTTTTTCAGTAGTCTATTGTCGAACAAGTCAACAACATCTTGATCGGCAGTAAACTTTACAATATTACGTTTGCATACATTAGAGAAAAAGTTTTCGGCTCAAATAGTCCTCGCAATCAGATACCCTAGATCAGATATATTGCTTTTTTACTAAATTACTAAAAAATTAATTACAAAGTCTAAACACTAAAAAAAATTTCTTTATTTTCTTCAAAAGTGGACACCAAATTCGTCATCATCTGTAAATGTTTTATACCCGCAATTACTTAGCCCTTCGCATTATAGTGGTGGAGCAACGTATTCATTTACAGCTGATTTTCGAGCTCCTTCACAAGGTTCACAACAGCCACAACAACAACAACAGCAGCCACAACAATTACAGCAACAGTCACAAGCTTTAACAAGCTTTACAGATTCTACAAATAAATTGTCACCAACATTATCACAAAAATCATTTCATCAACATACAATCGATCCTCAATCACCAAGCAAAAGCCCTTTGTATTTACAAGTATGTAACAATATATATATACATACATTATACATTATAGCTGTAATTGTTTTTGTGAAACTATTAAAAAAATGAATGAATGTAGTAGTGCCTTAAAGTCAAAAATTAATTAAAAAATTTAAATCTCCTTTATAAATTTTGCATTATCTTTCAAAGGACACTGAAAATAAAACTGTACGAATTGGATTTGATGAAGATGAAGAAAGCAATGAATTTGAAGAATCTGAATCTAGTAAACCAAATTTATGTAGACTTTGTGGAAAATCTTATGCCCGTCCAAGTACATTAAAGGTGACCCTAACAAAAAAAATATCTTTATAATAAAATGTTCTTTTAAATGAAACTTTTTTATAAAACTTTAGACGCATTTGAGAACACACTCGGGTGAAAGACCTTATAGATGTACACAGTGTAATAAAAGTTTTTCTCAAGCAGCGAATCTCACAGCTCATTTACGCACACATACTGGCCAGAAACCTGTAAGGAATAAAAAATTTGACTTTATGTTTTCTAATATTAATTATGTTTGTTTTTCAAATAACGAAATCCTAGTTTAATTGTAATATATGTGGTAGAAGATTTTCACAAAGTTCAAGCGTAACAACACACATGAGAACACATTCTGGTGAAAGACCATATAGGTGCCGCTTCTGCAAAAAAGCTTTTTCAGACAGTTCTACCTTAACAAAACATTTACGAATACATTCTGGTGAAAGTAAGTTAACATTTACAGAAATTTGTGTTATTCAAACCAGAAAATATGTTAAATTATAAAACATAGTCAATTAAAATGCACGTACACATTCTTTTCTTAATTCAAATTTTTAATTTTAGAACCATACCAATGCAAATTATGTTATTTACGGTGAGTTATACTTTTTTCGAACTATTTTTGTACAAATGTATATCATATACATAAGTATAAATTGAATATATTTATTTCTTAAACTTTCATAGATTTTCTCAATCTGGCAATCTAAATAGACACATGAGAGTTCATGGAAATAATACGAATGTGATATCATGACAAAAATCTAAAACATTTTATAATTTCCATGATATAGAAAGTAATAATTTATTAGCAACACCATCGTTTCCAGTGCCGCAACAGCAAACACCACTATATACCGAATTTGATGGTTATAATTTCTATGCAGCTCAAGTGATGGAAAAGAAAAATATCATATTTAGCAACAAAAAAATGTACAATAATAAATTTTTGACTTAAATTAATATAAATGTAAAAAAGTGATTTCTTTATGTGAAAAAATGTGTCGTCCGAATAATGAAATCAACACCAAACTTGTCACAAGTTGTGTCTTTTCTGCCAAGGACGGATGCTATTGTAATTGGACCAATTTGGACAATGGATTCGGGTAACTGCCATACAACTCAAAGAGGGTTTTTTAAATATTTTAAAATTTAAGAGATATAAGTATCAAATTTTGCATTATATTTTACATTGTATGTTCTGAAAATTTTATTGAAATGGATACACTAGTTCGAGTAGCTGCCATTCGACTCCAAAAGCTAATTCTATATACTTACATATGTATGTATTCGGAAAAGTAATATTCATGAAATATGGCAGCCGTGTGTCGAATTTCAGGTTACATACATTCCTGAAGTTTTCATGGAATGGCTTGACAGGTTTGGGTAGCTGCCATACAACTCCAAAAACAAATTTTTTTATTTGGCAAAATAATAAAGTTAGATTCATGAAACTTGGCAGCTGTGTATATAGGTCAGACATATCTGTGCAGTTTCTATAAAGTGGTTTGACAGGTTCGAGTACTTGGTATACAACAATAAAAGCTAATTCTAGATACTTTAAAAACAAATTTTTAAACGCAGATTTTCAAGGTGCTTGGGTATAATTCGTTCGATTTATACCAACTGAAACGTATTTTCAATTATGCTTATTTTTCCAATTTTATCTTGCAAGTTAATCTCAAAATCGCACAAAAACTATACACAATCTATTCATTGATCTTAAAACAGGAAGAATTTAGAACTTTATTCTATCATTCACTTTTTTGCTCACTGGTTAAAAAAAAATTAAGTGAATTTTCATTTGTGACCAACGCTTTCGTATTTGGTGTTTGAAATTAGGTTCTTTTCGAAGGTATTAGATATTTCTTTTATGTACTTTGTGTAGTGTAAATTCAAGAACTAAACTATTAGTTGAACACTTTCTGCGCTCATTGTTCTGGTAATCACAAAACTACCAATTGTTCAGATAAATTTAAAAACTATAAAATTAAAATCTAAAAATATTTATTCAAAAAGCCGGTTTTGATATTACTTACATTTATACATAAGTACATATGTGCATATAATGGCAAATATACTTTAAAATTTATTCAATTCATTTGCTGGGTCAAGCTGAAAACAAGCAAGCAAAAAATATTTTGATAAATTACTTAAGGAAGGACTTAAAATAATTTCAGAAACAAATTGTAAATGGAGTTGCCGATTTAACTCTAGAAATTCTAAAAGGGAATGTTTGAGGGCTAATTGCTTGGAAAGTAAATAAAAGGGAATAAATTCAATTAACAAATTTTCTTTTGCTCCAGAACATACTTATATTCCTGTAAACAAAAAAATCTCCCCATCTTTAATTGATATGGGTACCACTAACGTCCTTGAATTGTGTTCCTAGATAAATTTTTCAACTCAACTTTTTTGTGTCACCCTTCCAGTGATTATTCTCTTTTATAAAAACGCTATGAAACTGCAATAATGCTGTAATATGCCAGATATCAACGTTTTCTTTTATTTATATACATACATATGTATGTACATACTTGGAATAAAATATAATAGAATCAAAAATACTGCAAAATTACAAAAAAAAACAAAGTTTTTATTCTCAAGCAAGCTTGTACTCATCCCTATTTTAAAAAGCTATTATATTGTCCAACTAGTGCAGAAGTTACAATGCTCTAATGAAATTTTTAACATTACAATTAAATTTAAAATTATAGAATTTAAAAATAATATAGTGGGTCTAAACTGCTTCATAGTCTTAATCCTCCTTCGAAACCGATCTGGAAGGTAACGAAAATTACTAGAAGTAAATCTATATTCGCCCTTAGGAATAATAGGGAGATTTTTTTTACTCTTGAAAAGAAATCAGAAATATTTTGCAAATATTTTAGGACGTTTTTACCTTAAGATTCCAAGTACGATCAGAAAAAATTCGATTAGATTTTTCAATAGTTAAAATATTGCACATTGCACCAACCATTTTTGCTTCTACTTTTGCTTTTACTTCTTAAGTTTTCAAAAAAGTTTTTTTTGTATTAGTATAATCATGAAACAAAAATTTGTTTACTAAAGTAAAAAGTGGTTGGTGTAATAGTTTCTACCAAGTAAGGGTTATGGATCAAATTGGAAAATTAAGAGAAAAATTTCATTTACCTTATATCAATGCCTCTCAACCAGGACCATATGGCACTCCAACGGGCCACAGCACTATTTAAGGGCGCCACAGTAAATAAAAAAGTAAAATTGGGTGACCACGAAAACTTTTTTCACAACAAATTCCCAATATACATAGGTACTACTTTAAATATTTAAAAAAGAAATTAAAAAACAAACATGGCAATTTAAATAAAAGAATAAAAATAAATATTTTCAGGAAAATTTCTGTGGATATATTATGGAACGCTATCGCTTAAATTTAAACAAAATTATAGCTCCAATGCGAGAAATTTGTTTGTTTACTTTTCTAGAAATCTTTTCAAATTATTTTATGAAAGTAGAAATAAAATATATTCGTAAATTATGATGTTAAAATTATTTCTCTGAATTTATTTAAAAATAAGAGGATTTCTTATATGTATTGCACATAATAGATGCAATAGAGCAAAAACACAACGTGATGGATGTTCAATACATTTTTAACTATTCTATAAAATCTATTCTATAAAAACGGTTCCGATTGCATAATCGTCAAGCTTTTTTTGAAAACTGGTGGTTTAGTTTTCTTTTAATAATGTTGAGTGATGGTTTTTCAATGGAAAGAAATTTTTTTGTTTCCGGAATAAAAGTTTGGTAAGTAGTTCTTTTTTTTCAAAATTAAATTTTACATACAATATTTAAAAGTTAAAAAAATATTTAAAGTGAAAAAATAAAAATATATTTATACAACAAAATTGAAGAGAAGAATAACTTTTTTATAAATATGATTGCAAGGATACTTTTGAGTTTCCAATTCATTATTTTGTTTCAAAAAGTTCGATTCGAAACAAGTTACATGTTGCCTACAATTTCCAAATTAAATCTTATTCTAATAAAAAATCATATCTAATAGCAGTTGCCTTTAATTCAGAAACTTTTCCTTTTTTATAAACATTTCTATTATTCCACAAAATATCTTTAAAAATAAAAATAACTTTTCAGTTTAGATTTTAGGCCGATCAGTTGAAACAATTGCAACATAATTTGATATTTTTGAATTTTACTAACAGCCTAAACGTGTATCTCGCTTTTCCATCTCATTTTTTATTCACTTTCAAATCTTAATTCTCCGTTGTTCTAATGGATGTTTCATTTTTCAATAGGATTTTTGCATTTACTTTCAAATGATCGACTGAACGTCTCCTTAAGAAAAACTAAGTGCAAAAAAAAACGAGATACGCAATACAAAATAATTCTTCTCACTCAAAAATTGCTATATTGATACACGATTAGGCTCTACATTCTCCTTATTGCTTATTTTTATTAATAGCTAATTTCATATTAACTTTAGGAATCTCATTAAATTATTATCACTAAACTAAAACATTTTAGTATAATTTATACTTACCGCAATCGCTTAGATAAAGTGGAGAGTATAAAAAGTACTATGTACTTTGCAAAATTATTTTATTTAGGAAAATAATTGCGGTTTTGAGAGAAAAGGAAGTCAGCATTTCAAAATGAAATTGTATAAATTTTACAGTTAAAATATGTTAAATATATTCATAAAAGAAAATTGATGAATTTATATAAATTGACGAAAGGGACATAGACCAAATGCAGTTGTTTTCTTTTGTCAAAAAACCGCAATATTACTTACAAAGTACTTAACACATATTTTATAAATTATAAGGACGTTACTTTTATAAAAATTTACTGCATATCTAACGATCTGGAATTCAAAGTTCTAATGACATATAATTTACTTATACAAAAAAATTACACTAAGGGAAATGCAAAGAAATTGACAAATAAATGTTATCAATTATTGTTGCTGGACCATATCGGCAGTAAATTCCAACTTCGACTCGTATCTGAGCCTACAAAATAATTGTTTACATTCTCTTTAATTTTAAAAGTATTAAAATCACCTTTAGCAACATTTTGAAGCACTGTTGTTTCATCTGGACTTAACCGAAGTATGGTATTCAAAACAGGCACTAAGCGAGTTCTTTCATCCCCGCTGCTTAAAGTTAAAAACTAAAATTTTCAAACATTAAAGTTTCGCCAATAAGAAGAAAAATTTAATAGATTACCTTAATGATTACGTTTTTCAAATATTCAGAATTATGCATATGTTTTTCCCTTTCCAATGTTCTTTCATGCCGTCTTAGTTCTTCTTTAAGTATTTCACTTAATTGGGTATATTTAATTAGATCTTGCTCCGTTTCGGAGAGCAGTGAAGTTAAATGCTTATTTTTAGTTTCTTCGCTCTGCAACTTTTCCTTTAAAATTGTTACTTGATTTTCAGCACTCATTTTAGTATTTTCTTCTGCTAGCTCTTCCACATTATCATCAAACGAAGAATTTAGCAATTCGTCCAGAGGGATAACATCATGTTTGGATCTTGTAGAAATTTTTCTTTTTGGTAAGGTATAACTGGCTTCAGATCCTTCAGCATCTTCACGTTCCATTAATAACATTTCAACTTTTTGTTCATCCGAAGATTTTTGAGATTGCTCACCGGAACCAGAAGAACCGAAAGGTCCAATTCTAGACACGGGGGCAGCATTATTATTTTTTGTTATTTCACTTATAATCGAAGAATGCTTTTGCTCTATTTCGACTATTTGGTCTTTATAGCAGTTTGTCAAAGTTTCTATTTGTAAACGGTGAGCTTTTAACGATTCTTGGTAATCTTTACTCTGTTTTCGATTTTCCTCTAATAATAAATCATATTGTTCACGTGATTCTTCTAATAAATCCATAATTTCTTTTGCCCTATTTTGTACCTGCTCCTTTTCTTCTTTTAATTCCATTATTTTTCTTTCTTGAACGTCAATTATTTCGCTATTTTTCTGAAATTTAACATTTACAGCTTCAAAATTCGCTTGAATTGTCGTAAGTTCTTCTTCTAATTCTCGCTCTCGACTTGTTTCTTTATTTTGGTTTTCTCGAAGAATTGATTGGGCTCGAATTTTATAGCTAGCATATTCTTTACGAACGTTTTCTAAGTCTAGAACAAGGAGTTTTAACTTACTATCGCACTCACTTAATCTATCTTCTGACAAAGCAAGTTGTTTACATATATTTTCTTTTTCAATATTTAAATCGGAAATCAGCTTGTCCTTTTTAGCTGAAATATCGGAAATTTGCAAACGCAATTCTTCTATTTGGGAATGTTTTGATTCATTTTCGACTATATTATCTTGAAGTTTGGATTGTAATTCTGATTTTTCATATTCCAATTGTTTAAGTCTCATTTGCATTGCATCTACCTGTTGTTTTAATTCTATATAGTAAAAATATTATTTACTTTTATATTCTTGAATTTTATTTGATATACACTCACCTGCAGAATGTGTTTTTTCCGACTTAACATTGTCCTCTAGGAGTTTAATTTCCTGTTTAAGTGATGATATCGCACTTTCTTTAAAAGATACTGATTCCATTAACTGTAACAGAACAGAAAAAAAATTGTAAGGAAAAACATTGCTAATATTGAAAACAAAACTCACTTCCTGGTTTTGAGATTTTACCGCATTTAGTTTTTCTGTGTTTTCATTCAAACTCCTTTCATAAGCTTCAATTTCCAAATTTAAAACACTGCTTTGTTTTCCAATAGCTTTCGATTTTTCTAAATCCTTTTTAAGTTTTTCCAAAAGTTCATTTAATTTGTTTATTTCCTTCTCTTTGTCATTCAACTTATTTTTATACAAATCTTTTTCCTTTTCTAGTTCTTTTCGAATCAAATTGAAAGCGTCTTTTTCCTGTTTCAAAATTTTTATTTCATTTGACTTTTCATGGACAACTTGTTCCTTGATTTTTCTTAGTTTGATTTCATTATCTAAAGCTTTATTCTTTTCGTGAATATCTTCGTTTAAAGTTTTGACTGCATTTTGCAATAATTGAATTTCATTCTTACTTTCATTTATTTTATCGTTCATACCCTTTATTTCTTCAGAAATATTGGTCTTTTCCAAACTTTCAACGTTTTCTTGTTTTGTTAAATCTGAAGTTCCATCGCCTGCACTATTTTCATACTTGGTAATTATTAATTTTTGTTCTTGAATTTTTCGTTTCATTTTAACTGCTAATACTTTCAGCTTATTATACTTCTCTTCAAGACATTCATTCACATCTTGCATCCGCTTAGAATCTTCAGCCTTTGTTGTAGAGCACAAAGATAAAATCTCACTTTGATTATCGGTTATCACAGACGCCGCTGTTGAGCATGATTGATCAATTTGTTTTGATGTGTTGTTGCTTTCTTTTGATTCATTTGAAAGATTTTCGTTTTCATTAGTGGAAATTTTCTTTAATTGAACTTCCAAACACGATATAGTATTTTGTTGTCTTGATATTACGTCGCCTCTACCCTTCAAAGCTTCGTTTAGTTCTCTCATTTCATTCAATAACTCTGCATTCTCGGCTTTTAATCGTTCGATTATTTGTGTTTTCTCTTCAATCGTTCTTTTAAATGTAAGATTTTTGTGCTCAGAATTTTCTATTAGGTCGGAAATTTCTTCTTTTAGTATTCTTTCAGCTTCTTTATGATTTTCAATGTCTTTGCTTACATTTTCAAATTCCTTTTTCAAATTGTTGTAACTGTCTTGTGTTGATTTTAAAATAAGAGCGCTTTGGTCTCTCTGATTTTTTAGATCTTCACATTTTGAAACTTGCTCTTGAAGAAACTTTTCCAACTCATCACATTTGACTTTTAAGTCAAAATTATTTTCTTCCCTTTTCTCGTTCTTCTCTTCTTTATTTGATTCTACAATTTTTGAATTGATTATGTTGATCTCCTTAACTGTGTCATCATTAAGAGTTTGATGATTTTCAATGGACGCTGTTAAGTCAGTAATTTGTGTTGAATTCTGTTGATTTTCAATTATGACCTTATCACAAATTTTAATTAGGTTTTGAGTTTTTCTTTCAATATTAGTCAAATAATTAATTTCGTCGTCAATTTTTTGTTTTTCATAAATTTTTAAATATCTTTGCAAAATATTTTTGTCGTTTTCTAGCATCCTTATATAAGCCAATAGTTTTTGCGAGACTCTTCTAATATCTTCTTGCCACTTTGAAACTGATTCTGAATAATCCACCTCATTTTCCATTAATACCTTCCTGCATTCTTTGAGCTTCTTAAACTTGAAAACCACATCATTTATTTTATTTTTCAAATGCTGAATTTCATCTAATAATCTCACTTCTTTAATTTTCATCTTTTTTATTTCACAAGATAGTTCAAGATTTTGTGTTTGCATTTTTTTGATATCCTCATTTTCTGTCGAACTCTCTAAGTGATTCTTAATTTCATCGGATGACACTTGTTTCTCGCTAGTTTCCTTTAATCTTAAATTTTCTTCAAGCAATTCTGAAATAGTTTTTTCAAGTTGTTCCATTTTCTGAGTAACATCTTTGACATGTAGTTCATTTTTGCTTTGTTGATGAGCATAATCCTTGGTATTTTGCAAAAATTTAGTTTCAAGTTTTTCTAAATCTCCAATCAAATCTTCATTTTCGTCCGTCATTCTCTCAAGTTGGCGTTTTAATGTTTCGTTTAAAATTAAAACTTCGGAATGCTTTGTAATTGATGTTTCCAGCTCAATAATTTTAGAGGAAAAATTTTTATTTTGCACTTCTAAATCTGCTACTTTAGATGTAAGAGCAAGTTTGGTTTGCGTCAAATTTTCTACAATTTCTTTCATTGCAAGCAATGATGCCTTATCCGCCTCTTTTTGTGTTTCATATTCAGAAAGTTTGTTCAACAAACTTTTATTTTTTTCAACACAATCTGAAAAAATATAATTTTCAATTCTTATTACACGTTTTTGTCATTCATATTATAAAAATAAATTTCTTAATACCATCTTTTGCCTGTTTCGCTTTTTGTGCGAGACCTAATAGACCCTTACACTTTGCTATTAACTCCTCTTTCGATAAATTTTCTAATGGATTTCGTCTTTTAACAGAATCACCTTCCTAAAAATTAACAGGTATTAAATTTTTGATGGGCTATTTCTTTTTTTTATTTATTGCCTGAGAGCTAGATGGATGCTGATTTTCATTAGCTTCCATTATTTTTGCTATAATATCACTTTTTCTTGATTTTTACGTTCTCCCTAATTTTTACGTATAATTTTTATTTTATTGATGATGTGACATGACTATGTTGTCAAAATTGTAATTTTATACAAATCATAAAACAGCTGTTTTTGAAAATCATTTCTGAATAATAGACTTACTAAATTGATAGACTGGCAGTGAAGTCAATTTTCTCTTTAAATGGGATTCTTATCTGGCCATTTTCCACAAAAAGATTTATGATTTGAGAAATCAGATGTTTTCGACAATTCATTATTTCAGAAGAGATTCCTTAAAAGAATATTATAATGAAGGGACGAAATTTGAACTAAAAATTACTATTTAACATTTTTACAAGTTGTATTGACGTTAACATGTTGCCCTTTTTAATTATAACTCTTTTGAAATCTAGCTTCAGAAAATATTTTTTCTCAAAACTTAAAGGAGTTGTTTTTTAATTTTTGTCTTGTAAAGTAGAGGTCTTACTTTTATGAAAATCATGAAATGACTATTGGCATGTCGAAATTGTTATTAAAGCACTGGCAATCCTACCAAAAATTTGTTTCTGACGTTAGTTTGTTTTTATTTACTAAGGTTTTCATATACCGAATTGCAAAATGACTACAAATTATATTCAATATTTTTTATTAGTTGCAATTTCCGTAATATGTTATTACAATTGCTGTAATTGTGGATTTGCATTTGATGATATTAGTGCAATTCGTGATAATAAAGATATAACACCAAATGTTCCAGTCATAAACTTATTCAAAAATGATTTTTGGGGAACAAGAATAACCAAAGAACAGAGTCATAAAAGTTATAGACCTTTAACTGTACTAACTTTTAAAATTAATTATATTTTGGGCAAATTAAATCCATTTGGTTATCATTTATTGAACTTATTTTTGCACAGTTTTGTTTGTGTTCTTTACAAGAAGGTATTGCAATTGTTTTTAAACAATGAAATAAGTTTTGCATCAGCTATGGTGTTTGCAGTACATCCGATTCACACTGAGGCAGTAACTGGTCAGTAAAATATATAAATTTTGTTTCGTATTTGAAAATAAATAATTTATTACAGGTGTTGTAGGAAGAGCTGAACTATTATCGTCAATTTTTTCGCTGCTCACATTCTTATCGTATGATGGTTTAACCAAGAAATCATTTTCTATGAGCAAATTGTTTTTCATTGTAAGTTTAGTTTGTGCTGTATTGTGTAAAGAACAAGGTATTACAATATCAGCTATATGTGTTGTTTACGAATTATTTCTTATTCAACAAATAACAATATATAACTTTTTGCAACCCAAACACTTAATGAAAAACATTAATTCAGATGGAACTCTACGAATTTTCTTTGTATTGATTGTAACCTTCGCTTTATTGGTGGCAAGAGTTTGTATCATGGGATCACAATTGCCTGTTTTTACTAGATTTGATAATCCAGCTTCCGCAACATCTTTTCCGACGAAACAACTAACATATGGTTATTTGATATATCTTAATTTAATGTTACTATTTTATCCTTCGAATTTATGTTGCGATTGGACAATGGGAACAATTCCTTTAATAACAAACTTTTCTGATGTTCGAAATTTATTGACTTTTATTACTCTATGTTTTTTTATAATACTTGCATACACTATCGTTTATAATCAACGAGGAAAAAACAATTCACATTCGAAAGTATTAATAATGGCTTTAGCCTTTCTCACGATTCCATTTTTACCTGCAGCTAATTTATTTTTTCCTGTTGGATTTGTAATCGCTGAACGAGTTCTTTATATGCCGTCTATGGGGTTTTGCATTTTAATCGGCTATGGTTTTAATTTGCTTTATGTAAAATATAAAAACAAAATTATAAATCTATTTATGATATTGTTGATTTTATCATATGGAACGAAAACGATTAACAGAAATTTAGATTGGGAAGACGAATTTTCAATATTTACATCTGGACTTAAGGTGAATCGAAATAATGCGAAACTTTTTAATAATGTGGGTCATTCTTTGGAAAACAAAGGACAACATCTAGAAGCGTTGAGTTACTTCCTAAAGGCGACGGAAATTCAAAAAGATGACATTGGAGCTTATATAAATGTTGGAAGAGCGTATAAAAGTTTAAAAATGTATGATAAAGCAGAACAAGCATATTTAACAGCTAAGCAAATGCTACCTAAACCAAAACAAGGTAGGTCAAAATCCCAATTTTGCAATGTACATATGTAAATATTTTTCTTTTTTAATTTTCTTTGCTCAAACTTTATTAAAAACACTCGTTTTTTTAGGAGAAACATATCAAGCGCGTGTGGCTCCAAATCATCTCAGTGTGTTTTTGAATCTAGCAAGTTTGATATCGTTAAATCAATCTAGGTTAGAAGAAGCAGATTTATTATACCGGCAAGCAATAAGTATGAGGGCAGATTATGTTCAAGCTTATATCAATCGTGGTGACGTATTAATGAAGCTAAATAGGGTTGTTGAAGCTCAAAAAGTTTACGAAGAAGCTCTTAAATATGACCACGAAAATGCAGACATTCATTACAATTTGGGAGTCGTCCTTTTAAATCAAAATAATACTGAGAATGCATTAACCCAATTCGAATTAGCTTTAAAATTTAATCCTGAACATGAGCAAGCCTTGTTCAACTCCGCTGTTTTATTACAAGAATTGAATCAACCGAAGTATAGAGCACCCGCTTATGAAAGGCTTTTGAAACTATTAGATTTCAATAAAGGCAATGATAGAGTATATTTTAATCTTGGAATGTTGTCAATGGACGAAAACAAAACGAATGAGGCTGTCTTTTATTTTAAAAAAGCAATTGAGTTGAAAAAAGACTTCAGAAGTGCTTTGTTTAATTTAGCTTTACTTTTGGCAGATTCTAAAAGACCGGTTGAAGCGATACCTTTTTTGAAACAACTTATGTTATACTATCCCAACCACATAAAAGGTTTAATACTGTTAGGAGATATTTACGTAAATAACATAAGAGATTTGAATGAAGCTGAAAAGTGCTATAACAAAATTCTTCACTACGAGCCAAACAATATTCAAGGTCTTCATAATTTATGTGTTGTTTACGTTGAAAAAAATGAACTTAACAAGGCACTGAATTGCTTAGAAAAAGCACATTTTTTGGCTCCTGAAGAAGAGTATATTTATAGACATTTAAATATAATAAGGGCGAAAGTAAAGAAAAAACCTAATGAAAGTTAATCACGTAAAATATTTCTTAAATAAACATTCTAGAAGTAGTTAATTTATTAAATAACTAACTTATTATAATTATAGATTAACGGCAAAATATACATTTTTTTTCAAACTCTTTTTTAAATTTTTTATTTTAGATTTCAGTTTTTTAATAATAACAATTAATCAAATTAATTTACCACAAAAGACATGTTATTATATAGTATTTTATAGATTTATACACGTCATGGTCTTTAAAATATCAATCTTTTCGCCCAAATACCGGGCTACTAGAACTAATGGTTTTAATAAATGATTTTATTCCTTTGGACTGCTGATCTGCTAAATTTGACGAATTCTCACTTTCTGCAGCAATGATGTAAAAATCATCAACAATTGGACCCGGAGGACTTATATCAAACGGCTGTATTTCGCTTAAACAACAATGATTTGCGTTTGATATTTTCGGCATTTGTTTACTGTTTATATTCTTGTTTATAGTTTGATCTTGGTTTCTTTTTAAAATTTCTTGCGAATCCACCGGTTTTAATCGACCTAAAGTTGGTACTGGCATGCATTGAAATATTGTTGTCAAAAAATTTCTTAGAGATAACCAATATGTATCCTGCCATTGTTTTGAAAAGTAAATGGAAAAAGTAGCTATTTCTTCAGGATTTTTACAAAACGGAAAATCTAAAAGAAAAAAAAATTATTAAGTAACATTTTTCAAGTTCTGAGATAAATATCATACAAAACCAGTCTTTCCAGTCATTTTGCGAAGATAAATCACTTTTCAGGTTAACAAAAAATTCAGAAATTTTTTCATTTCTGTTATTGTTGTAAGCCGTTATTAAATAAATCTTTAATAAACCATTTTCCAATTTTTTTACAGCTACAAAATATGAATATGTAATTGCTTTATTCAATATGTTCGATTTATATTTTAGAAAAAAAAATTATTAGTAAGTAAATTAGTAAAACACTTTCCACTTTTTTTATATTGCTGTATTTTTGTGATTTCTTTGGGAATCCCGTATTGGGTACATCAATATGAAAATATTCGACTAGATTCTCAATAGACTATAAGTAGAATGCAATTGATTGCTCTTACTTTATTTTAAACAATATTTACCAAAAGTAAAAAAAACTAACATAGTTTCCAATTCTCGATTTAATCTATTTTTTTTATATCTGATGACAAACAAATTTCAAATAAATATAAAAGCTGAGGAAAGCTCGCTCTTTCTATGCATAAATATACTTAGACATTTTCAAAGGTGGTTTTTGAAGGCTGAATAAACTGAACATAGAAAAACAACAGTAAATATTCCTCAGACTTTTAGTGTATCTATTCGCTTCGGTCTTGCTTTTTCAATAAAATCTCTCTTTTTAAAATATGTCTAAAAATTGCATTTTTAATTGGTAAATAATATAAAAATTTTACAAAAATTAAAAGTTTTACAAACGAAGATTGTTATAATACAGAATTCATATACGTATATGTCTGTTTTATAACAATCTATGTTAATAACAAAAAATATCAAGTAATTTCTTCCAAAAAAGCAATCAATAAAACGTCTTTTTTTTTATTAGTACTGCCAATCGTCAGTCATCATCAGTCTAAATTAACATGAAAATGCATTTGGAGAATTTTTTATTTTTTGTTTCTGATTAGAGTTTATGTATGTACATATGTATATATACATGTATTATTTTTTTAAAATCTAATTGAACACAAAATGCATACATTTATTTAAATAAAACATTGATATAGCTAATATATTACCCGAAATGTAAATATGTTCAAGCTTGCTATATAAAACTGTATCTAATTTAATCCAAAATTGGACTAGCCCATTCAGATCAGAACTATTGATGCTAAAATTAATATTATTTGAAATTCCTTTAAACATAAAATATAACAATAGATCGAATTCTTACCACTGAGAAAGAATTTCTATAATTTTATCTGCTCTTTGAGATTTCTCTTTGTCATTTTTTTGTTCATTTATCATTGTTTTCAAACTATTAGAAAATCCTCTAAATAATAAATATTCTTTAACAAGCTCATCCAAAAACTCTGTATGAGCCATTTTTAATCAAATTTGCTCGTTTTTTTTTCTTTAATTTTAATTTTTAAATATTTTTTTTATTTATTTACATAGGGCATTCCTTTTTGTTTACTTTTTACAACTAACAATTTAGTAAAGTTTACATAAATTGCACAGAATACCAAAATTTAAAAATACTTTTGTATGTATTTAATATTTTAATAATATGAAAACTGACAATTAATAAAATTACTATGGGTGTGTGTATATTTGCGTTATATTGTGAACATATTTACAGCAACACAATCAACATGTTTATCAACATTGTTGACCAACTGTTTACCTCAATCAGTGAAAACCACGGCTGACAGAAATATAGGCCTGGTGGACCCTAAGAGAGTGACATTTTACAGCTGACGAATTTACACGTATTCTTATGGAAGCTATAGAGGGCCTTTTTTAATATCATGTCTCCCAGAAGATTAACTTTTTTTTCAAATTTTTAGTTAGAAAAGGCTAAAATTCAGTCTTATTCTTTTTTACTAGTGATTACGTTAAGGTTTTGTGTTATTGAAACATTTAAAAAATTGATTTAAAAACCTTTCAGGCTCTTTTTATTTTTTTAAGATTTCGCTAAAATGCTACACTGCAGGCAAAAAAAAATAAGACACATTTTTTTGAAATATTAAGCAGACCTGTGTTTTTCTTAATTTGGAAAAGTGTGCATTTGATACTCGTATAAATATATGTCGCAATTGTTTTTATAACACATACTTTATTAATTATTTTGATATGCGTCTATATAATATATTTTTTATGAATTTATTTATTTATTTACTATTAGTACTTTCCTATTCTAATAAAATTAATACATAATATGTGTTAAATTTCATACTGATGCACAAACAATTTTCGTCAGCTCGTGAAAACTTCCATTATTTTTTATTCGGAGGGATGTTGTATTTCTTCGGGTAAACCATCGCCTATTTAACCGATGTTATATAAAAAATTTTTGAATTTCCACTACTGTTTCAGTATATAGCTTTTAAATTCTAAATTTGCGAAGAATTTCAATATAACCATTTACATTTAACCAAAAGTTATTATTATTACCAATTACTTTTTCAAAGTGATTTTGCATATTTTCCAAAGAAATTTATTGAAAAACGGCAGCAACCATTTCTTGGTTTTTTTTCTCATGCACGTATTCCAAAACTAAAAAAGCGTTTAATCATTTGGAAAAAAACAGAATCAGTTGATTACTTTTGAATTTATTAACTTATTTTTACAAAAACAAGTCGGATTCCTTATATACAAATTTAATTTGCTTTTGAGTTTATGCAAATAATCAGAAATTATTTTGCTTAAAAAAAATAAAAAACATATTTTTACTAAATGAAAGGAGCAGAAAGGTTTTTTTTAAATAACCAAAATTCATTATATTTAATAAAAAATGTATTTTTAACGTGATAAAAGTATCTAATAAATTTGTATTTGCTTTTTAAAATTTTTGAAGAATCTCATTGATTTTAATAATACACCAAATGTATTCATTTATATCTTCTGCTCCGTAAAAATATTAATTTCATTTATATTCTAAAATATATGAATATAATATATTTATTAACAATAAAAAAAAACTATCGATAATTAAATTTATTAATATATTTAAAATTATATTCAATCTCTGGTTCTCAATCCCCAAATTGACGTCCTTCTAGATCCAACGGTTGGCCTGGCTACTGAACTATGTATAAATTTATTTATTCCTACAGCAGGAAACGTGTTTTGCAAGGTTATCAGAGCAGATTCTTGCAGTATACCGAATACATCCAAATATGCTAAAGATTTCACATTTTTTAATTCTCTAAAATGAAGTTATTTAAAAACTTTGATTATTTAATAATTTGTTTTATATATCACTTACACATAACTGGCTGCGTTTATTCCATAGCATCTTGACAATGATAAATACTCCAACTCTTTAAATTTGCAAACAGTATTTATGGTTGCGGAAGTTAAACCAGTGCAATCAGATAAGTCTAGTTCTAACAAACTTCGGCATCGGCTACTCAACACAGAAACATCTAAAAAAAATTTGTTATTAAAACTATACAAAATTATTGCAAATATGAGAAAATTTACGAGAGTCAAATATATTTTTTCTACATCCGGCGATATTAAGTCGCAAAATATTTGGAGTCAAGTTTTGAACTAAAGCTGTAATGGATTCAATACTCAAAGATGTCCAGGAAATATTTAAACTATGCAACTGCTGCAATCCTTTCATCATTTTCAAAACACTCCATTGTTCAATACCTTCACACATAGCCAAATTAAGTGCCTCCAAATTGATATTTTTAGAAATTTCGTCGCAAACTGCGTCACTCAATGGCACATGTTCCAAACTCAATTTTTTTAATTGTCTACATTTTGAGAGAAGAACTTTTAAAGATGGTTTAGTGATAATTGCCATACTAAGATCTAAATATTGTAATTTCGATTCAAACTCATTAAAAAAATCACTTCGCTCTGGGTCAAATATTGGATGTGCAATCTGAAATAATGTAAAATAAGTTTAAAAAATGATATTTTTTTGTTTCCTTCAAAACCCACATCTGCCTGAGCTAATCGGAGTATTACTATTCCGCGAGATACAATATTTCCTAAAGCTCCACTTCTTAAGGTCTTGTTGCCCAAATCCAATCTAGACCAAAGTGATTCATCTTGACTCAACCGATTAAAACGTGAACAAACAAAACTACATCTGATAAGTGTCTTTTTCGGTAGCCATTTGAATATTTGCAAAATCATTTCATCAGACAACTTTTTAAATGGATCCCTGTTGCTAAAATTAGAGCGCTCTATTGTTCTATATAAGAAGAAATTTTCATTTGGTATAAATGACTTCTTCACATTTAAAACATTTTGTGGTATCTGACGATTTAATTGTTGTAGCGAACAATTCGCTTCAAACGAAATTTCTGTTGACGTTGTTGCTTGTGATATATGAGTTGTACTATTATTTGTAATTGTAGGATTACTAGAGTTTGTCATACTTATTATTCCTTTTTGATTTGCATTTACATAATTATTATTGTTACAGACAACAGTAGCCAATGGACTGCGGCCTTTACCACTAATTACGTTAGAAATAATGATTTTGCCTTTTTCCGTTGACATATCTGAGACATTATTTGCTCTACCTTTTTGTTTTAAGGTTTCGTTAGGATCAGTAAAGCTTGTATTGTTCTCAGATTCAACTGTTTGATTTAAATAATCAAAATTCCCATCATAATTTCGGTGAATTAAAACCGGCGCTGATATTATTGGAGTTTGCTCATTAGAATTTTCATCTGAGCCACTTGTTTCATTATTATGACTAGATAATGAAGTACCTGAACATGATTCATCCGATTCTAACATATTTATACTGTGCTCCTTTAGCATTGACTTACAAGGGCTTCGATCAATCACTGTATTACTCGATTTCCACGTTTTAGACAATTTTGGACGTTTCCTGCAACATTAAATATTTTTATAAACTATGTAAATACATAATGTAATTTTTTTTTGTTTTTCTTTTCGAACAATAGAACATTTTTTATGGCTACTTTTTGAAATTAAATAAAAACTATGCATATTTTGAATTTTTTTTATGGCAGCATGAAACTTTCACTTCAATATTTTTATATATGTATATTTAAGAATCGAAATTTTTTTGACATTTTTTTTTATTTTGCGCCAATTCATTGCTTAAAAATGGGTGCGTAATAATAAACACTTACGTTTCTACAGGACATAAATTTTCGTTACTTGAAAAACTGCTTTTCCTTTTAAAATTCATATTTTCTCTAATTAATTTTCTTAATTAGTACATTTTATTAATGTATAAACAATTTGTAGGCTTTTAAGAAAACAACCTTTTGCCTTACTATCAAATTCAATTCCTGAACTTTTGTTGAATTAGCTTATAGTTTTTGCTTTAAAGAACAGTATAGTGTTGCCAAGTATTATTCGATCGGACGCAAGCAAATAGGAGAAAATTAAAAAACAAAAGAAAAATTTCATCTCCTTCGGTGTTGTGCATATTTTGACGCTATTTTGTAAATTATAAATTTGTGATAGGTGTTTAGAATAATTGTGTTTATTTCATTAAGTATTGTAGTTGAAGTAAAATTTAATCTTTATTTTAAAATTTTGTTTGAAATCTTGTTATTGCAAATTTACACTAAATAAAGAGGTCACCTGTAGTTCATAGATTAAGTTATATATGTATTTGTTTTTATATAATCAGAAAAACATAATAAAATAGCTCGCGTTTAACTTTTCGACATCTAAAAATAGTTGTTTGAATATTTTTGCGTCGTGTGTGAATCGAATCGACTCGAGTTATGTCATGGCTGTACTGTAACGCGAGAAAGAAATTTATTTGTTGAATTTTATGAAGCTTGTTCATATCAATTTTTACAGTTTAAAATCTCGTAAATTAAAAAAAAATTGATCATGATTGAGATTGACGAAGATGGAGCATGGAAAAATGATCAATTAATCATTTTTCATCAAAATTTTCTTTGAGGAAAAAATGCAAATTACTATTTTCGACATAAAATTTGGAATTAAACGGTTTATTTTAGTATTTTAAATTTTTCACGTTGAACAATAATTAATTTTTTGAAGGATTGACAAAATATTCTTGCCATGTAAAATTATATTCTCATCAATTTCAATCTTGATTGTCAATTTCAGATTGTGATGTAAACCTTATTTAAAACGTAAAGTCTACGTATTTTCGAAATTTTCAACTATTGCTGCCCATTTGCTATTGAATTTTTGAATTTGGTTCTTCAACACATTGTAACAAATTCTCAACCTGTGGAATCGTTATTAAACTAGTTGATCAACCATAAAGTGGAATCTTGATCCAAAAAAGTAATATTAAAAAATTTTACCTTATGATATTTCGTAAAGTAAATGGGAAACTGGAATATCACTTTAATTTCGAGTAAATTTTTTTTAGGATTAATTTTTGATAATATTTTCTGTTCCTTTATCTACTGCTCATAATATATTTACTTGAAGTTCTTTCACACTTATGCCAAAATCTACGATTTAATATGAGTCTGATGCAAGTCGTATAAATATACGACTATATATATAAGCACTGTTTGACATCACACTTTATATAGCGGAAAATAATAGAACTTTCTCATAAAACTTAGTGTCAGATTTTTTTAAAAGCATAGTTATGAACAGAACAGGAACGATTTTCCGCCGGGAAGGGTTAAAATTCATATAGAATACACATATTTAAATGGAACTACTTAGAATACAAAAACAAGCAAAATAACCGACCCGAATTCAACCTCGGGCGATAAAACAACCAATTGTCGGAAATTATCAATAAAAGCAATTAATTTTTTGCTGTTTTCACAAAATTTGGAACAGCCATCAGCTGATTCTTATTTCCCTTATAATTTAATAAAAAATTAAAAAATTATTTATGTATAAAAAAAAACGTTCACGAAACAAAGCTAAAGTTAACTAAGCTAAAGGGACGTTAATGTTGTTCATTTTTTCTTTAAGTGTTAGCTAACACTGGTTCTGTTAAAATATTCGTTGAAATCCACATCAGCCGGTTGGCAGTGACACTTTGTGGAATGTGGAAGCCAACTCATCGAAATTTGACACTAATTTTTGGATTACATTGGGTTATAAAAATTTTTCTACTTTGCTTCGTTTTATTAATAAAAAATGGAAATTTTAATTTATAAAATTTTATTTTTAACTTGTGTATTTGTTTGTTTGGTAGAAGGTATTAAATTTAATTTATATCCAAATACACAAAAATGTTTAAAAGAAGATATGCAAGCAAATCAACTAATAGTTGGAGAATTTGAAGTTACGGCGGTACCTGAATCGCCTGAACAAACTGTGGATTACATTGTAAGCTGAATTTTGTTTAATTATATTGGATTTAATATTAAATGTACTACACATGTATGCTTTTTTTTTCTTATTTTTAGGCTAGAGATACTAGAGGTCATATTTTATCTCAAAAGGAACACATTTCGAAAGGGAAATTTACATTTACTTCCGAAGTTTATGATACATATGAAATATGCTTTATTTCTAAAGTTCCGCCACGTATGTGTTAAAGTTAGATCTTTTATCAGATATTAATTGAACTTAATTTATTGCAGATTCTAGAGGTATTACACGTGAAGTTACGTTGGTGACAAAAAAGGGCATAGAAACGAAATCTTATGAAGGAGTAAGTTGTTTTATAATACTACATTTGATGTACTTACCTATAATTCAAAAATTTTTAAAATTTTATTTTTTTCTAATTTTTTATATGACATTATCAGTTGGTAAATATTTCTCTTTAATTTTGCTGGATTTTATTGATTTGATTTAGTTTTTAATTTATTGCAAATGCCCAAAATAGTATTGTATTATATGTATGTAGGTACCTGTGCGCCTTTTAGCACTGTAAAGAAGTTAAACTAACCTAATTTCTAGTATAGACTTTTTATTATTTGCTTACATATCTACTAAAAATTAATTTTTTTGCTGTGTTTTAGCGAATTCTGTGTGTCTGTTAAATTTTATTTTTTAGTAATAACTTTCTATTGAATAGAATTTAAAAAATAAGTAAACAATATAACATCAATCCAAGTAGGTAACTTGATTTAAAGGAAATTTAAAGAGTTTGTCGAGAGCTTGTCGAAAACAGTATTACATTGCTAAATTAGCAAAATTCATAACTCGATATTTTATTTTTATTTACATAATAAAATAATCAAGTTAAATTTAAAATTTTCCTTGGTTTTTGTTGTGGCTTCACTAATAATTTTGATCGATTTCTTTTTTTTAAAAAAACTAATACATGCGATACAAAAAAAATTGTTTTCTAACTGACTCATGTTTTTAGATAGGGGAGGCAGCCAAACTTAAACCTCTTGAAGTTGATTTGAAACGATTAGAAGATTTATCAGATTCTATTGTTCAAGATTTTGCTTTAATGAGAAAACGTGAAGAAGAAATGAGAGATACCAATGGTAAGTTAAAATTGTCATTTATTTAAACTTTTTTTAATTACACGTACCATATTTTTCAGAATCAACTAATAGTCGAGTACTATTCTTTAGTATATTCAGTATGTGTTGCTTATTAGGCCTAGCAACTTGGCAAGTTTTGTATTTGAGAAGATATTTTAAAGCTAAGAAATTGATTGAGTAATTAAAACTTTTTGTAATTTATAATTTTTTTTGAAATTAAATTTTTCCAATAAAATTTTTGGTGTTATTTTTTCAACCAAAAATTTGATCTAAATTCCTGAAAGTAGAAGAGGCAGAAGAAATTATAATTTTTTGAATTTTAAATGGGTTTTCTTCATAATTCTCACTTTTTATTCTAATTTAACAATAACTTTGGAAAATGCATAGGTACATAGATCCTAAAAACAATTTCTCAACATTCAGTGTCTTTGGTCTTTCCACTTTTTTTCAAGAAAAAAATTATTTGTGATTCATGTTGATGATAATTTTTGGGGTTTTCATCAAATTGTGGAGTCTTAATTTTTTATTTCCTGTACGATAGAATGATGTATATATGTATATATATAATGTTTATTATTGAAATTTAAATTAAAAAAATTATAATGATAGGAAGCTTTGCACCTACATTTGAAGATCCTAAAGTTTTGCAAGTTTCTTTTTAATACGACTAACATTTATATAGTTGATATGTAACTGCAAAATGGCAATTTAGAAATGTTATTACATTCATATTCCAATCCACTGTTATATAAAGTGACATACACTGTTCCGAAACTCTAGCCTCAATTATTATTCATTGTGAAAAAAGCTGTGGAAAACTAAATAAATAAAAAGACAATTAAAAATTTAACCCTGTATTTCTTTAATTGGAATTTTTCAACATTATTTATTATAACTTTTTAATTTTTAATAGTTTTTATACACTACAAACAAACGTACATGTAAACAAAATTGACTAGTTTAATTATTTGAAAAATTATTTTACTCTTCTTATTTTATTCCCCTCACACAGAAAGCAATTTTTTAATCATTCAACTTAAAATTTAAATACATTTAATTTTGTTTCTCCTATTTTAATTATTTTTAAATTTAGATTTCAAAAATTAAAAATACATAATATTAGTTTTAATAAGAAAAATCAAATGGAATTAAAGAAAAGTAGTTATTTCTTGATTATAACAATAACCAAGATTATTTTTATTAAATTATTGCAATATGCTTTATTATTTATTTTTTCTTTTATGAATTTTTTTTTTCAATTTAAATAGAGTATTATTAAAAAAATCATAAACAACATTTATGATTTATTTTAAGACCACAATGGTCGTCTTTTGTTAATAATTCTTTGTTTTCCTTTATACATAACTATTTTCAATCTTTTACTTATAAAAAAATATGTAAAATTAATAAAATATTAAATATATACATATATTAAATACAATACAATTTAAAAAAATTACATAATAATGTTTTTATCTTAAGAATTTCAAATTTTTGTTTGTTAATTTGAATAAAGTTTAAATTTTGTAAAACCAATTGATTTTTTTTTGTAACAATTTTGTTTTCTTTTTTATTTATTTCTTAAATAAAATGCATTTTTATATATTTTTATAAATTTTGTTATAAAATTTCTAGCATAATTTATAATTTGGGTAAGTAAAATAGATAAAATGTAAAAAAAAGCATTTATTTATTGTTTTATAATGGTATATTATTTATTTTATGGTATATTATAAAATATATATAATTAAATTGTAAACATATAATTGTGATGGATTTGGCTAGTTTTCGTTATCACAAAATGTTGATTGAACTGAAAATATATTTTTTTTAATTGTGTGGTTTTAGTTATGATTTTAATGAAAGCATTTAGTTGATGTTACGAGGGAATTTTTAAGTTTATTAAGTTAAGAAATGTTTCATTTTACTTTTCCTATCAAATCTATTTTTTTATAATTTGTAAAAATTTACATAGATGTTTGAAAAGATGTAATTTTTTTTTTTCTTAATATACTGGCTATGAATCCCCTCACAATAGCTTTATCGCCAAATCTTTAGGACCTTCTATAATCAAAGAATTGAGAATCATATTGTAAAAAATTAAAAATAATTTTATTCTTAAAATGTAGTACCAGATAATTCTAAAAAAATATGTATACAAAAAAGTACGTAAGAACATAACATACACGGGATTATTTGCAAAATCAGTAAAATCCGCATTGAAATTTGGGATTTTTGATAATTCAGACATGCACTGAAACTTCTAAAATAAATCTTAATAGCATTTTCACATAGTCCGCCACATAAAGTGTAGAAACTTAATATTTTATTTTTTAATTTAATTTATATTTTTGCAGTAGTTATAATAAAAAAAAACTTAAAAATTGCTTTAAAATTTTAGGCACAACTATCACTTTCAAACATATTAATATGACATTGATCTGAAAATAGCTTTATATGCTACAGGAAAACAAGTTTCTACTCTTAATGCTATAATTGAAAGAACAGAAATTTCCGTAAAACAAAGTATGTCTAATAATAAAAAAAATTACACAAAAATAAATCAAGATAAAAATAGGTGGAGAACAGAAAATTTAATCAATTATACACCCAACTCTCTTTTTACACGATTTTGAAATAACACGGTTCACAAAAAGCAAAAAATGTTTTTTTACACGAATTATTTATTCTAACACGATGTTCAAAAAAAATTTTTGTACACCCAGTTACAAAAAGAAAATATAACTGGAGAAATTCTCAGAATTTTTTTAGTCGCACTTTATATTTGTCTGTTTTTCAAAATTGCGTTATCATTAAGAATGTAAACATAATTGTATTTAAAAGTGTGTCGAGGAAAACAATACTTCTTTTTTATAAGTTTTAGTGCCAATATAATTTCTCTTTGGATTTACTTACAACAAAAAGGAAATATTATTGCGTAAATTTAATATTAATATGTTTGAATTATATTTTGTTTATTATTTATTTTATACTTTTTTAATCATAATATGCCTGAACTGTATTTTGTTTTTAATATTAATATTGTACATTAAATATGTACATATGTTTTTTTTTCATTATAATAGTTGTTGGTTTTTAATATTATACTTTTTTGCACGTTTTTTAGGTCAACCGAAAACTCTTTTTTTGATCTTACACGGGTTTTCAAAATTGTGGAACACATCCTCAATTTTCATATGAGTAGCATGTCTTTTTTTACACGTTTTTTTGTTTACACGGTTTTCGTTGGAACGTATCTATCTACCGTGTAAAAAAAGAGTTGGGTGTATTTAATTAATTAAATAAATTTTAAAATGCTTTCCACATCTCTCTTTTTCATACCAATTCAATCAACCTTTGTGTTTTTATAATACGTGTTAAAAAAAAATAAAACATATATATGTATGTATTTATGTAGCATGTCTATATATATCGTTTTATGATATAGCTTTACTTAAACCAGCTTAAACCGTAATTGTGTAAACTATTTTGTTCCTTCTATAATTTAACTTTTAAAAAAACTGAATATTTTAAAGTAAGATCTACTGGTTTAATTTTTAATTGTATTGTATAAGATGTACATGGATCCTCATTCGGAGTAAATTTATGATTCTTACTGTTGGTCCTATTAGTCAACAAAATACTAGATTAAAGATCAAGTTTCTTGTAAAACGTATTTAGTCTAGTTTGGTTTAAGTGAAGTTAAATCGTATTTTAATAAATGTTTATATAAAATTCTCAAAAATTTAAATAATTTATTTTATCCTTTTTTTTCGTAATTATCTATTATCATATATTATTATTATTAACAATAAATTAAAAATATTTTCTTTTTATATTTCTGTTTTTATGGGAAACCATTTGTTTTTAGTATATTTTAAGCATATATTTGGAATTTGTTTGCTAATATTTGTATACACATAGTAAATGTTTTCACAATCCAATATTACTTTTGACTATTGTTATACAAAATGTTAAAGTATTTATAATAAAGCTGTAAAGCACAAAATATACGCTTATTTTATTTTGTTTGTAACTTATATAAATTCATGTTAATATACAAATTTAAAATATATGCTCTTATTTTGGTCCAATTTAAATTTTTAATATATTCATATAATACATATTTTTAGTTATATAAATGTTAAATAAGTGTATATAATTATAAGATCTGTTTTTTTTATTTTTTTTTTAAATATATATAATATAATAATAATAATTTCATATTTTTTCATTTTGTAATAAAGTGTTATATAACAATCAAATATTAAATTAAATTTATTTCATTTTTCAATTTTTTAACTGATTACCTTTGTCCTAATTTATTGCAGCGTGCATTGCACAAAAAATATAATTTAATTCTTTGTTTGTTTCAATGTTTAAAAAAATATATAAGAAAATCATACTTTACTTTCTGGTCCTTCAGCAACATGCTTAAAAGTAGATCGTATATTTGCCAAATATTGAGAGCATATATGGCCATAATTTTTATTGTACCATTCTGGACGTTTACCCCTGGAAGATTGAAAAAAAAAATTATATAAATTTTTTGTTTTCTTTCTTTAAACAAATAAATAGTATCACTTTAAATCAACTCGCGATAAATGCATAACACGAGATCGTCCACTTCCACAGGGCTCTATTAAATATCTTGATGCTAAAACTACGCCACGTATGCTATCAGAACTATGAGGTGCATCACGATGATCAATTGAAGTTTCAACAATGACACAAGCTTGTTTTGGTAAATTATTTATTTGCCAAGATCTGAAAATTTTCAACAAAATAAAAACAAAAAATTAATCAAAATATCTGTTAACATTATTAATTTTGAACCATTCGCCATCATTGCACTATTAATTTATGAGGAATTTTTGATTAATTATTGTGCGTATTAATTTAAACATTGCTCTCCCACTTTAAAAATAAATGGTATTACTTATGGTATAACATAATCTAAATTTATTTTTTATATAACATTTATGTTACTAATAAATTTTGTAATTTAGAAATATTTAAGATACTTAATTTTTAGTTATTTTTAGGGGTTAACACATAATTTATAGCTCACCTCAAAACACAAAAATCTGTTGGAGTTTGTCCGTCAAGGCTATAATAATAAATTTGAGTTTTTTCATCTAATTTTTTAACCTCATGGCATTCCAGTAAATTATTATCCCAATTATTACGTTCATTCAAAATAAAATTTAAAACATCAGTCGGGGGTCCTTCTACTTCTGTTAAACATCGCCACAATCTTAATAGGTGACCATCGCCTACTTTTTTATATGCAATTTCAATATTTTGATCCAATGAATTAATAGCTACCCACCCCCGTGACCTTCAAAAAGAAAAAATTAAATTACATTAAATTGACAAAAAATAACGCCATGAAAAAGATCTTTATACTTTTCTCTTCCTTCTTTAATTGTTGCCTTTGTACATTCATATAAATAACCCCTCCAATTGTAATATTGCATTCCTTCACCTAACTGCTCCAACGGAACAGGTTTGGATTCTTCCATGTAGCCAAAATTACATTTCATTATTTTATCTCTGGATGCAGAGAAAATTTTTTTGTATTCTTCTATCATTAATGTTAAGCACTCGTGAGATGCTTTAGTTTCAGCCAGTTCTTTCATATTAGGTTGGCCCAACTTACGACGCCTTGGTGATACAGCCATTGGGTTTCCCGTTGCTATATTGCTATTAAATAATGACGGTGCTAAACATACAGCCAAATTACTAGCAGTCATCTGATTTGTTTGAGATTTTTTCGCAACATCATTTAAAAAGGCTAATAATGAATGTAAAACATCGCGATTTTCATCTGGCAATAAGAGTACTGCTGCTTGAATTGCTTCGATTCTTATATCTGGCGGTAAATCTAAGGAAATATATAAAAAAATTATTTATATATAATTGCTTACATAAAAGAAAGACAATGACGTACGTTGGAATATCGCAACAAAAGTTTCAGACATTTTTGCAGTTAAAAGTGAATCTGGAAGCTCACGAAAATATTGTTTTAACACGTCCGCTACGTCGAAAGCCTGCTGACTATCAAAAATTTCCATACAATCTTCAAACGATTGGACTGATTCTATAGATTCCTTAAGCTTAACTATACGGGATTTGACTCCGGATTTACGAAAAATGCCAACTTGGTCTAGAGCATTTAAACGTAGCCATTTTAATGCAGTTGAAATGCCGATCGGTAATGATTTTCCAGTTCTTTGTAAAATTAACACCAATGGAACACCAAAAATTTTCTTATCTAATTTTTTTTTTAATAAATTCGGATGGTTAAAAAATATTATTCCAAACTTAAAATAATACCTTTATAATCAGGTGCTTTTATTTTTTTAATAAATTTTGGTAATTCCCAGTTCCACCCCGTTCTATGACTGGGACAGTAACGTTCCATATACCCAGTTAAAGTTACCAACGCTAACTTTCGAACCATCTCCAATTGGCCACAAGACATAGCAGCAAATTGTGTTCCCTCTGACTTTGTTTCTTCAGTGGTTGGTGAAATACATTTTTTGAAAAAAATTGGCTTCTCACGATTTTGGAAACTATGCCATCGTACCACCGATTTTCTATAATACAAATAAAATATAGACTTTAAGAAGTTTTAATATAGTGAGGAAATTTTACTTTGTTCTTGTATCATCTAAATCTTTTGATGATTTTTTAATTGATCCCCGAGATCTAAAACTCCTATTTTGAAATGATTCTCTGTATTTTTTGGATTCTTTCCCTAAATTCAAAGATCCACCTCGTGTAAGCTTTTTGGTTTTGTTGCTCTACAAAATTGAACGAAAATTAATTTGAAGAAATTCAGCTAATTTAGTTTTGCTTACCGTATGTTCATTTGATGTTTTCAACTCCTTAACAATAAATTTTCGACAGGCTGTTGCATGACATTCTGAGTCTGAATGCGCGCCGATATCGTCTACTTTGCATTTTTGTAAAAATCTAGGTCTACTTGTAATTTTTTTCATTTCTGTTAAACGATCGCTGTCAGCATTGGAATCTTGACTATCACTCATATATGCTGCTGAATCATCTGAAACACCCTCCTTTAAATGTGGCATATGACTTGAAAAAAAATGTAATGGACTGGTTCGACTTGAATGACAAGACCTTGGTGTAATTGGTATATGTTTTGGACTTAAACGATTTGTATATAAGAACATATTTGATCCATCTACTGTTGGAACTTTCAATTCATTTCCGATAACATTAGTTGGACGAGGATAAAAATGTATTGGACTAACGGCTGATGGGGACGGAGGCGTTGAATACGTTATATTTATACCAGCTGTCTTATCAGATGATTGCGATATTGTTAATTTGTTATGATCTAAACTTGGTAATTCTAAAATTTGTGGTCCTCGATTACGGGTGCTTGAGCCGCCACTCATAACGAACCCATCACGATTTTGTCTTTTTTTACGTCGTGTTTTTATTGATTCAACACGACGTAAGAATGCTTTCGCTCCATCTTTTAAACGTTCACTGCCTGTTCGTTTCAAACGAGACATTGAATCTGAATCAGTTTTTGATGAATCTGATGAATTTTGTGGCATAGCTGAATAATTTCTCGAATCAAATTCATCATCATCGTCATCATCAAAACGCTCGGGGCTTGATTCTTTAGATGAACTTTCAACTTTGTCAGTTGATGCTTGTTTTGTTGATAATTCAAGACCGACTTCACCAACACGTGACCAACGACGAATTTGCGGTTGAAATGTCCATTGATCACTTAAGGCGAAATTTTCATCATCAGAATCGTCTTTCTGCGATATTATTTAAATTCAAAAATAAAGAATTATACACTATAGGTCTTATATATATGAGCATGTAAATCATTTGGTTGCGGCAAATTAATTTTACTATCCACTTCGAAAAAAAAGTTTTTAGCAAAGACTGGAGATTTTCGAAAAATCAATTCTAACCTAAATTTTAATATAAAGCATGTTCCATAAATCTTATGCATATCTCAGTAATCGAAAATCCCCAGTTCTTTTACTTTAGTTAATAAAAATTTTACTAGCCACGTATGTAGATACGAACCTGATTTTGTTGCGGTTTGTGATGGTAAGCATTATCCAGCCTTAAGGCCGCGCAACGATTTAATATACAAAGTCGTCGATACAAAGATTGAAGAGGATCATTTTCAAGGATTGGATGATCTTTTGCTACATTATTCAAATCAATCGGAAATTGTAAATCTAAAAATAAAGAAAATTATTAATATTTTAGTTTTGTTCAAGTTTTAAGCGAATAAATTTTACTTAAAAACCTATTAAAACTATTATTTAAAAAATAGCAAATATGTACATATTTTAAGAAGATATTGATTGATCTCTTTGAAAAAATCTTGAATACCCTTAAAATAGTGACGAATCATCTTACCACTGATGGTGTTCGTACATCAATATTAGAAGTGCACTCCCATATTTAATAAGTTTAAATTTATCACAGTATAGGAAAACCTGTAGCTTATTTTTTTTGCATATGTACATAATATTCTTATTCAACAATTTTTTGCACTTGCAATTTGCATTTTCTAAAATATTCTGTGAAAACGTTCTCTTTAACCTTTGCAAAAATATTTGATTTTCTAAAAATAAATAATAATTGTGTCTTTTTTCTTCTATAGTAGTTATTAATAACCCAACATGACCACACAAATTTTACATGGCCATTGATTTTCGTTCGGCTTTTAAGCGTTTGTATTTTTATTTTCTTGGCTAAAATGAACTAATTGCAGTTAGTTTTAAAAGAAAATTGATAGTACAATTTTTAAACTCACAATTCATTTTTAATTGTTGACTGAGACATGTAATTGAATTGTAAGTGAATGTATGCAAAATTATGCAGCAATTTTTTGACAAATCACCCAAATTAATATTCCTTATGTTTTACATCGTACCTACGCATATGTATATTGAGCAAAATTAGAAATTCGATTGAGAAAATTTAATTAAAGTTATGATAATTTCAATTTGATATTGTTTTTACCGGAATTCCAAAATTAAGGGGGTTCAAAAATTTTTACAATTTGCTAATTTTCAGATTAATAAGATTGCAATATTGTCTATTCTAGAAAAATACTTTTTCCTCATTGCTTCGATAATTTTCCGTCTTATTTTTCTTGCTTGAATAATTGAAAGTCTAAAAAAATATTAAATTGCTATTCATTTTAATTACTCTAAAAAAAAAAAATTTTAAATTTATCGATTTTGTAAGTTGATCCTTATTACAAAATTATTGACATCAATATAAAATTTTTATTAAATTTTTGTTTTTAAGATTTTAATTATAAATTTCAGGATATTCTGAAGTTGTAATTTAATATTTCGAAAACAAAAAAATTTAAATAAAATTTCCAAGAATTATAACTTTTCTTTTTTGTTCACTTAGTAGAAGATTGTATACAATTGAAATTGATTATTATGACGTCGTAATATAGACATGCAAAATGTAGTTTGAATGTTGAATACCTATATTTGTATGTATGTTTGTATAAATTTTAAGTATTCATTTGCACATTGTAAATTGGGGAAGTTTAAGAGTTTTATTGAAAAGAATTTAAAAAATTTGTTGAAGTTTTCTAGAATTTGAATAATTATTTAAAAAAAGATAGCCCAGCTTCGTTTAAGAAGAAGAAGAAGACAAACTTTTATACAACAAACATTTTCTCTGTTTAGACAGTTTGTTGACACCCCAGAATATTTTGGTACAATTATTGACATCTAACTTTTCTTAAAAAAAATTCTCATACTTTTTAATTAAATTTGAAAAAAATGAATTAACATAGCATTGGAGTTTATGTTTTTTATTCTAAATGGAATATACTTTTAATTCTAAAAATAGAAATTAAGGAAGGATATACTAAATTTGTCTTATCGTTTGTAACGCTAAGAAATAATGGTCTGAGATATATGCTCAAGAATATGTTTCTGATCAGCATCGAATTCTGAATCGATTTTGTTGCTTTGTCTAACCGTTTATCCGTTCGTCCGTCCCAACGATAACTCGAAAACTAATTGAGCAAAGTTCACCAAATTTTCACAAATGATTTATTGTAGTGAATGCCAGAACCTTATTTAAATTGCATACCTACCATACAATTTCTAAATTTATTTGGGTATATTTCAGAAACTATAAAAGCTGTGGTATTGACATTTCACATAAACGAATATATTAGTAGGGCTACTGTGTTTGATAAAAGTTGATGAACTTGCTTGGCTCCTCCTGGCAGCTACTACACAACTCCAAAGGTTATTTGGCATTATCTCAGAAATTATTTGAATTATAATATAGAAATCTCGTGAGAACAAGTGTATTATTAGGGCTGTTATGTGTGATCAAAATCGTTGAAATTTCTTGACTCCTTGAAGTAGCTGCCGTACAATTTGAATAGTAGTTTGGCCATATCTTAGAGAATATTGAAAAGTACTGAAATTTTGTACACAAAAAGTACACAGTACTGAAATTTTGCATAAATTAATATGGAAATATGGCAACTTAAAGTCATAGTCTGCCGATGACAAGCTCGAACGGGTATCGCAGAGTTGCCATGGTCAACTCTATTTTTTCTCGTTTTTATTGTTTTTAAAAATAAAAGCTGTTTTTAGAAAAGATAAAGTTTAACTTTTAAATTGATTTTGTCAAAACTTTGTTCTCTATATTTTCTTTAGTATTTTCGACTTTAATTGATCTAAAATGCCTAATTCTAAGAAATACTATTCTGAAGACGATTCACAAACTTTACATAAAAAATTATGGGATTTAATTTAACGCATAAATTATAAGATACTCGTAATATATTCCCATTGGCAGCTGCAAGTACAACTAGCTAGATTTTAAACGTCATAGAAAATAAATAAGTTATAAAAATATAAATAATTAATTTTTCTGGGGTGTCAATGACTATATCGATATCCTATATCAACCATTATACCACAGGGGTTAATGACTATACTTTTTCGACAAATTCTAGAATTTTTCAAAATTTTTTAAGTAATTATAAAGCAAAAATTTAAAAAAAAAAATTTAATATTTAAATATCAAATTATTTAAATTTAATAAGTGGAATCCTAATAATTTTTCTTTTGGTTGAAACAAACAGCTTCCAGAACCATTTTTTTCCTTAAGGTGGTGTCGACAACGATAACTATGCTTGCGATTTCAAAAATGTTTTGATTTCCAATTTAATAAAAGTTTTTGTTAAACAAAAAGAACTCATTTAAATTTATTAGGTTTGATTATTACCGACCGCATTGTGTATACAATATTGCGATACGGTGGGAACGCACTTCTCCATGGTAGGGAAGTCTCAAGTTCGGCTGAACAGATTTTGATGAAATTTTATATGTAAGTTAATTTTGACTATGGCACGAATTGATCAACTTTTGGGATACATATATCAGGCCTCGGGAACTGCACTTTTTGGCGGGCCTGTTTTACATTTTTGATCATTATGAAGAAAATATTTAACAGATTTATTGGAAATTTCACATATAAGCTTTGCTCGACTGTCCACGAGACCTCCAAATTTTTGGAAGAAACCAGGTACGTTTACTACGGGCCAAATATACATTTTTGCGTATATAAAGAGAAATAATCGACGGATTTCATTGAAATTTAATATTTAAATTCTTCGTATTAAAACAATGAACGTAAAAATTTTTTGGAAAGATCAGGGCTCGGAATCGGATCTGAGGACCGATTTTACAGCCAAAAGGCAGTATGTAAGTAAATAAATTTTTCCTTCACACCCAAGATTTTAAAAGGGAATCGATACATGTACATGTCTACGTATTTATGTATGTATGCAACAAAAGTGTGCAAAAATGTTCTTTAATAACCATTTTTTCTAAATTTTATTTTCATAGACAGCAAATATTTTTTTGTTTAAAAAAATTTAATTGAAAAATTAAAATTTTGCTTTTTGTGGTGATTTTGTGAATTAATCAAAGCAGAAACAAGTAACAAAATCTGTATTTGAAGGTAATGTAATTGTTAACACCCAAGTAGCAGCGCTCAACTCAAATCTTTTGATGTGTCGTTACCGTTAAAATAACAGTTTATTTTTTTCAAAAAAAAAAAATGAAAAACAACCACCATTATTACCCATTGCCTCACCTGTAAAATCTACATTGTATATAAAAAGCTAATAAAAAAGATATTTTTCAGCAGAACATCGTTTTCACTACGCATATTTTCAAAAAATATTTTGGGTTCATAATTTGGCATAAGATAGATCAAGATTTCAAAGGAGAATAATTAAGGAATCATAAAAAGCTTTCATTATGAAAATGAGAAATAAAATTTTTACAAGCATCAGTTATACTCAAATAGCGTGTTAAAATAGCGTATAAGTCCGTTTTTTCATATATGGTGATATTTAAGGTTTTGCATTTGAATCAATTTAAAAATATTGACCATAATAACATATTTTGTTTGTTTTATGTTTAAGCAAAACTTTATTGAAATTGTGATTGTAACTTTGTAGATAAGGTGTCTGTAGCTCATCAGAATCACCATTAACTAAGTCTTTGTAAAAAGTGGACTAATAACACTTTCAAAAAAACCAGTTCATATAGAGGTTTAGGTTCATACTTACGCTTGTACATACCCATGTATATGGGTATAATGGGGGCTCTACTTACGCAACATTCGTAAACGAAAAAATAACTTGCTACAGAAAATTAATGTACAGCAAACCCTCATTTATGCCAATGATTTTTATGCGATTTGCAGTTGTGTAGCTTGAATTTTATTTAAAAATTTCTTGAACAAAGATACAAAAAGAGTGGCTTAGGAAGCCCGCGTATAGACAGTCGCTAAAAATCTTGGGCTCAGAGCTCACTATATTTGTTCCATTGACGTTATAATGTTTGTGGATGTAAAGGACAGTCAGATTTATCTTAACCTTTCATATCCACATGTCAATGATATGCTTTGAAAAGGAAACTTTTGCAATTCGGGGATTCCCATTATACATGAAACTTTAACCATCGACAATTCGCTTTTAATTCATTTTCGGATTCTCGGATTAATTTCGGATTGAAAGGTATAACTTATAGAATTGTTTTGAAATTAAATTTTGTTTGAGCAACGTTTCATTTATTTTTATAAGTGCTGATTCCACATTGGAGTAATAAGCAGCACATTCTGATTTCTTTTAAATAAAACTGTCTGAATATATGTTAATGCAAGCTTTTATATGGATTTTCTTTCAGATATTGGTAATAAGCGGCCTATTTGTTTTAATTTCTGTAAACTATTTGTAACCGGTTTTGGGTTAATTTTAACTTGTAGCTTCGCATAAAACGACTTTTTAATATTACAGAACGTGTCGCAGCTTTCTCGATGCAACTAAAGTTTTTTCCAATGCGAATTTTTTATCCACCTAAAACTAGATTTTACTATATAGTTATTTAGAAGAGTCTAAGATAACCTAAAATTTAAACAAATAATTTGACATATTACGTTGGGCCGTAAAGAAATTTATTTTTAGTTGTCTTGTTCAAGTAGAAGAGTAACAATATTGATGTGTTATCTTTAAATTTAATTAATATTTCCTGATAATTTATTTATTTTTTATTTCTGATAATTTCAACTCGTAAAGGCTCATATTATTTTGTTTTCGATAATAACGCAAGTTATAATTAAATATAATTTAAAATTAGTCCTCAGAATCTAAATGTTTAAATAACGAATAAAAGTTAAAATTGGCTGCCAACTTTAATTTTGTAAAATAAATTGCAAAAAAAGCAAAGTGGGATGTTATTTACCTGATTAACTTTTATTTAATTGAGTTTTCTTTATGTTTTTAACTTTAGTCTTTTTTACAAAGGTCAATGTGGAAAAGGTTGCTTTGCGATTAATGTTTAATTAATATCATTTGAATAAATGTTTTTGAACTTTTTAAGACTGTTGTCCAAAACTATATATAAGTAAAGAGAATAGTGGTTTAATTTTTATAATAAACTGTGATTTTAAAATATATTTGGGATTTTATAGTTTAAATGTTTTCGTAAATATTGTAGAACTATGAAACAATTTTTATTACATAGATCAAAATTATTTAATTTAATATAGGACTGAAGACATATTTTCAATAGGTTTCATGAAATAAAAATTTTTTTACAAAAGCCGTTTAACACATGATGCAGTACTTTATCAAGGTTCACATAATCTACTAATATTTTTCGTTTTCATAGTTCTAAAGTAAAAATACAAAGCAATCTTGCTTACATCTAGTTGCTAAAATAAATAGTTTTGCAATGTTGGCGCTTAATTTTAATTTTTTTCCTAAATATTTATATAAAAGTAGCTTTGCAGAATTATATTTAAATATCCGATCAATGATCTTACCTTCGTACATTTGCGCATATTGAGGAAAACCTGCTGCTCTCAACCATTTACAAGCTTCGATTGCTTCAATTTCTGTGAAATAAAAAAAAAAAAACAAATATTTAGTTATTAATTTAAATTTTTTATTTTATATTTTAAAAAACTTAATACCAAAAGATTAAATCAAAATTTTATCGTAAACACTGAAATTATTTTAAGTAATTTGAAATATACAGTGTGATTTAGTAATCAGTGTTTTAGCATATACCATTATGGGGCATCAAAAATTGGTAAAATTTTAGTGCGAAACTAGGTGTCAAATCTCAACAGTTTTCAAGATACATAGAATTTCTATTTGACTTTGGTTTTTATGCCTTTTTAGAAAAAATTATTTTTTTTTATTTTTTTCTAATCCGATAATTTCGTACAAAAAATTTTGAAACTTTAATTTAAGCTTTAATTTACAAGTCATTAAGCGTTAAAAATCTTTTCTGGTAAAGGAAATAAAGCAAAAAATCACTATTGTATTTCAAGACCTTAATAAGATTTACAAACTTTAAAAATCATAATTATTTTTGATTTCAATAAAAGTTTCAGTAATATAATTCTTCAAAAAACTCATTCTTAAATGCAGTTACCATTTGTAAGAACTTCAAATAAGCTCATACTCTTTCTAATAGGGTCTTTAGTGGGAATTTAGCGGTATTTCCTAACCACTAATGAAAATTATATTTCAGTGTTCACAAGTTGCTCCAAATATATAAAAAAGCATATTTGGTAAATGGTGTAGTAAACCACAAATTTTAAAGCAATAAAAAAAGAAAAAACAAAATTCTTGAATAATATTTTGTTGTCGAAATCTTTGTCGTTCTTCGCTCTATGTAAACATATATGTACATATCTTCAGTTTAAAAGGAACATAGACTATCGACAAAAATGGCAATTTCGCTTTAAATACCAATTTCAACTTCTTAATAACTACATTGAAATGTACAATACTTTTATAATATTGCTTAAATGCGATTTTAGAAAAAGTAGTTTTTTGGCAGATAGTCAATTTTCTCTTTAAGTCGGCAATATATCCTTTTTAATAAATTTATACCGGGAAAGTGAAAAAAAAAATCAATTGAAATTTTTGTTTTCGGTCATTTTGAATTACAATTTAATTTAAATTTTATTTAATTTTTCACATTCAGCCATTCATACTCATGTATACGTGTTAAATAGAAGCATATATATGTATATGTAAATATATATATACACATGTATATGTCAGTATTCAGTGCATCTGAGTAAGTTCATTTTTACAATAGAAACAAAAGAGTATTATGAAGTTTTCATTTATTTTTTTTTTTACCTTTTTTTCTTCTAAACACATTTTTCTCTTTTTATAATTAATTTTTATCTCAATAAATAATATTGTCCAATAAATTATTAATTATTTTTCTTCCTTTTGAAAAATAGAATTGTGTTTTTCATATAGAAAATATCATAACCTTCTAACCTCGTAAACCAATTAACTGATAAAACATTTTAATAAAAGATGAAAAAAAACCAACCATATTTTGAATTTAAATAGATTTATAAAATTCATATATGTATGTACCTAACATAATACCACATACACACATGACATTAATATTCAAGGATGAGAATATTAATTAAAAAAAATTTTTGAAATCTAAATGAAAATTTTTACATCCTTAACAAAGAGAACAAAAATAATATAATTTTGAACCTCTAATAAGTTTACGATTACATTTATGAAATAAATCAATTATAGAAAAAAAGAGTTACATATACATACACTCATACATTAGAAATTGCTTCATTAAATATTGAATGTGAATGAATGATAATCCTTTGTAGTTTAACACTACAAAATAATTTTTTCATTTAACTACTGAATATATTTGAGAAAATTACATCCCATCACTATATAATCATTCTCGGTCATTATTGTAATTAACACATAAAATAAAGAGTGCAGATGAAACCTTGCAAACAAAAAGGGATAAAATAATTTTTGAAAACAAAAATACGAGTACACTCGAATCTCTAACGATAAGACTAATTAAAGGAAGACTCATTCTTTGGCGAAAGGGTTTGAAAATTTAGAATTTATGCATTCCAATAATTTATATAGAAACTCAAGTCATACAACTTTTTAAAAATTTAAAATTAATTGGAAAAATTCTATAAATTAGAAGACCCATTATCTATAATTTTAACTATTTGTAACGACAATATAAGTGCAAAACTAAAATGAATTCGAAGAATTCTTAGAAATCAAAATTAAATTTTTGTAATTTTTTGTAATTGCAACCAAGAAAATTGTATTACGATTTTATTATTATTAAATTTTCTGAAAGGTAATTTAAGTGCATTGTTGAAAATTACTCGAGGTCCAAGTACGAAAAAAAAATGCAATTATAACATTGTAGTTGCAAAATAATTGAATTTTTTGGGTTGCAACTACATCCACTAAAACTTTGTTAAGAGTTTAAAATTACAGCAGATAGCATTTAAATTTAAAAGTTACTAAAAATTTAGACTAAAAATTTTCTACTGAAGAAATACATCAAAGAAATTTTTTGGGTCCAAGAGTCTGAGTTCAAGGTCGGGATTTTGAAATAAGAGTGTAAGAAGTCACTACCAGAAAGAATCGCAATTGATACTATGTATATAAATGCTGTACTAGAAAACTTATTTTTTTTTTGCAGAGTTTCAAGCTAAATTTCAAAATTCGTATTAACGTCAGAATTTCTGCGGATGAACAATATAAATAATAATTGGAGGAATGAATAAGAAATATTGCTTATAGGAATTTTGGGATTTTTTTTAAACATACAAAGTCAGCACTAAAATGAAAAATAAATTCACACATTCATAGACATATGTGTATGTATATGTACACAAAACATAAATGCATGTTAATATAAAAAAGAATTTATTGCAAATTAATTTGAAAACTTGAGAGCACACTTAAGCAACTATAAACTATTCAAAATTATACTTAATTGCAAGCAATTCATAAAAAACTACAAATTATTTGATTGTCTAATTACATGTGATCATATACGTTAGTTGTACAACAATCAAAGCGGTAAATGGACAAAGGGGTTAACTTACATTTGCATCTTAACACAATTTTTTATTAAGAAATTGTAAAACTATTAATTTTTTGTAACTTAATTGCCATGTGGACTGTCAATCTCGTCTTCTCTTAAGTTTCTAGTTATAAGAGTAATAACAGTCGAAAATATATGAAAATTAATGATGTTTTTTTAATGATCTTCGATTTTCGTCAAAATGTTAGTTAACCCCTTTGTACAAAGCCCTATTACTCAACCCTATATTGTCAATTTGACATTCTAATTGCCCAAATTGAATTGAACTATAATGGCCCTCTTTTTTAGACATTATATTTTTTGAACTACGTGCTTTAAAATAATTATTTAAAAAAAAAAGAGAGTTAACTATAATTGTTTTACTTTTAATAGCACCACCACATTACAAAGAGTTCATTGTATTGAAAATTTTTATATTTTCTAAGTTTTATAAAACAACATTTACATTTTATTGTATATACACACATTTATGTTGTATAAACATATTTGCACAATAGTTTGATGTGATTGAAAGCCAGGTGAAAATATTCCAATAAAGAAACAAAGAAATATCAAACGAAATAAATAATAACAAGAATGAAGAGAAAAAATCATTATAATTAAAATAGAAAAATTCAAAAAAATAAAAAAAAAAATAATAATGAAAAAAATAATAAAATATTTTTATCTCGATTTTCATTCCACTTGATTAAGTTTTACAGGATTTCCATCTACTTGACAACCTAACAAAAATTTTCACACAACACCATACACACATAATGGTACCCACACAATAAAAGCATATTGTATATAAATAACATAAGGCCTTTTTGTAAAACAAAAAAAAACTGCTTATACCTACTTTTAACATAAAAGAGTTATTTACTTTCTCATTCATAATATACTCTTACTCTATTTATTTTGGCATTATATAAAATAATTAATTCTTCTCTTCGTTCATAAACGTTTTATGTTACAAGTTAATAACTTTTACCTATATGTACATATGTATGTAAATGATGCGATCAGGTTCTGAAATGTTTACATCACATTGGTAGAATTCATAGAATAACTATTTTATAGATTGTTATAAGAAAATTTCATTGAGAATTACTGAATGTTTTCGTTATAATTTATGAACTTGATTACTAGAAATGTTCATATTTCAAGAAATAGAAATTAAGTACAGCTCTAATAGAATTATTCTTAGGTAAAAATTTAGATTTATATACAAATATACAGATGTATGAGAGGATGTTCAGCCCATATTTCTTAACGTGAGTCCACGCCATATGAAATTCGTAACGCAGTAAAATTATGTTTTATTCTGTAAATCATAAATTACAAATAGAATTGACAATTGTTTAAAATAAAACTGATCTGGTAATTGAAAACCCCAATCTTAAAAGTGATTAGAGCTTCTGACATAGATGAATTAAAAACGGTATTTAATTTATTTCGGGAATTACTTGTATCTTAATAATATATAAGCACATTTGATTAATATAAGAAAATAGAGCCAAATGGTCTGCTTGAAAGGTTATACATACAAATTTTAATTATCATGCTGTGTATGCTATAGATGTTAATTTTAAATTGAAAGTGCGATTTTTGTTTCCCATTTTATACTCTTATACCTAAGATGAATATAATATGTAAAAGCCCGATAAAAATATAAGTAAAAAAGGAATTATACTACTAGGGCTTTAAAGTTTTTCTTCGCATTTGCGGAGGTTTGTTTTCGAATTGTGCATTTGAATTTGGATGGGACGTCAGAACAAAATTTTCTGGCTGTAGTGTATTATATAATTTCTAATTTGATCTATTTATTTTAAGTATTTTAAGTTTTTTTTGGAATAAAATTGAAATTATTGTCAAGACTACTTATAGAACATGTTTATATAGAATACAATAATAAAATATTACTTCCATAAATTAACAAAATTCCATATGTGGCCGTAGATAGTGTTGCTTTTTTTGTTA